TAATTAAAGAATTTAAAAATAGATCAGGGCACGTAAAACTTGTTAGAATATGTGTAGTGTTTCGCTTGCATGAATACTTGACAGGATTTTTTCCATTGATAATGATGAGAACGGATAGAGTTGTATTGAATGAATGTTATTACAATTGTACAGATTACATGTATATATAAGGAGGAAGTCTTAGGAAGACGGGTTTAAGGAATCATAACCTAACTCAAATACATATAGTCCTAATACTCCCCCTCAAGCACAAGGTACACTAGTGACTTGTAGCTTGTCTCTAAGAAAGGAAAATCGAGGACTAGATAGAGCCTTTGTAAAGATATCTGTCAATTGATCCTTGATTGAAACAAAGTTAACATGTATATCTCCATTTGTAGCTCTGTCTCTAACAAAATGATAATCAATTTCTACATGCTTTATCCGAGCATGAAAAATATAATAGGATTTGCACATACACATGTATATAGCTCCAAGATTATCACACCATAGTTTAGGGGTGGACACGCCAGTCACGCCTATTTCATGTAGGAGGGAGAGAGTCCATATCACCTCAGCGCAGACATCTACTAAAACTTTATATTCGGCCTTAGTAGATGAGCTAGCAACAGTCCTTTGTTTCTTGCAGACCCATGATATAAGATTGGAACCAAGAAAGACAACATACCCACTGGTTGACTTACGATCCATAGGACAGCCAGCCCAATCAGAATCTGAGAAAGCATGTAATTCTCTAGAAACTGATTGCCTTATTCGCATACCATAACTGATAGTGCCTTTTACATACCTTAGAACACGTTTCAACTGCTCCCAATGCATGAGAGACTATAGGAGCATGCATGTGTTGGCATAGTTGGTTGACTGCAAATGACATATCTGGACGAGTGACTGTAAGGTATTGTAAAGCACCAGCCAAACTCCTATACTGCGTGACATCATCATATAAATCAACACTGAAGACAGTGGGTTTTGAATTTACACTCCGTCATGCCAGCGCGTTTTAAGATATTTGTCATGTATCTTTGTTGAGAGAGCAAAATCCCATCCTTACATTTAATGGTTTCAATTCCGAGAAAGAAACCTGGTTCACCAAGATCCATAATCTTGAATGTAGATGATAATGCAGTTAGGAGACTATTCACAAGACTGTGATCATTGCCCATTACAAGAATGTCATCAACATATATAAGAACATAAATGAAACCTGAATCTTGTGAGTAGTAAAACAAGGATACATCTATTTCTTAAGCTTTAAACCCTACTGCCATCAAAAAGGTGTGTAAACGATTAAACCAAGCTCTGGGAGCTTGTTTTAATCCATATAAAGAACGTTTGAATAGACAAATTAAACGTGATTAGGAAACTATTTATCAATATATCCAGGCGGTTGCTTCATGTAGACAGTTTCAAATAGCTTTCCATTAAAAAGGGCATTGCGAACATCAAACTGCTTAATAGTCCAACTAGAAGATATAGCCAGAGATAGAATTAACCTGATAGTAGTGAGTTTGACCACTGAATTGAAAATATCAAAAAAATCCTTGCCAGGTACTTGATTAAATCCATTGGCTACTAACCTTGCTTTGTAGAGTTCAATTGACCCATCAGCTTTCATTTTGGTGCGAAACACCCATTCGCACCCAATAACATTCATATCTGATTGTGATGGAACAAGACACCAAGTTTCATTCTAAAGAAGAGCATTAAACTCCTCATCCATTGCCTTCCGCCACTTGCCGTGTTTGACAGCCTGTGCATTACAAGTAGGTTTAGTAGGGCAAACATGAGCAGACAGAGCCAAAAGTGGGGCTTTGGTGCGACTCCGAGTGGCCATAGTATAGGTTCGAACCGTGGGCCATGATGACCGTCCCCTTGGGCGCGACCTTGACGTCTCGGGGAAGCGACTCATATATGAACGGCGGGGGCTCATCCTGGACTAGTTCCAGCTGGGGCCGGTTCAGGCGGTGCAGTTTGAACCGGAATAAAGGATGGAGCCGGAATGAGAATAGATTCAACCCATGGTTGGGTTGCCTGAATAGGTAGTGCTTGCAAAACTGTCTTACTGAAAGGAAAAACTCTTTCATCAAATCGAACATGTATGCATATATATATTTTACTAGTCTAAAGGTTCATGTACCTATACCCCCTAAATGACTCAGGATAGCCTAGGAAGACATAAGGAGAAGACCTGTAAGACATTTTGTGACAGTTGTAGGGACGCAAGTGAGGATAGCAAAGACAACCAAAGACACGAAGAAATGAATAAGATGGAGGGGATTTATGCAATAGAAGATGAGAACTGGATTTATTTGCTACATCGGATGACATCCTACTAATTGAATAAACTGCAGTCTCAAATGCATAATCCCAAAATTTAGAAGGAATACAAGCACGACTTAAGAGAGCTAGACCTGTTTCAACAATGTGTCTATGCTTTCTTTCAACACGACCGTTTTGTTCATGAGTATATGCACAAGACTGTCTGTGGAGAATGCCTAATTAAGCCAGGTGGAGTGTATCTTTTTATACTTGGCCCCTAGATCAGACTGTATGGACTTAATCTTACGATTGAACAAACGTTCAACCATAGCACAGAACTTATCAAAAATAACATACAGGCCAGATTTTTGTGACATAAGGAAATACCAAGTGTAACGAGAGTAGTCATCAACAAAAATAACGAAGTAACAATATCCATTATTAGAAAGAATGGGAGCTGGTCCCCAAATGTCTGTGTAAATTAAATCAAGAACACACGAACGAGATGACTCAACACGTGTAAGGGAAAAGTGCAGATTTCCCTAGTTGACACACATTACATAGACCCGAAGTACAACGAATATTGTTTCTAGACCCACTAACCGAACAAGACGAAAGAAATTGACTAAGAACACGTTGATGTGGATGACCAAGATGATCATGCCAATTTTAATTTTAGTGCAATTTTAATTTCTTTTATATACATACAAGGGGAATAATCTAAAGAAATCTTCATTTTCTTTTTTAGTACGGTTAACCCTGTTACATGTAGTATCTGTTCTAAAGAAACCTGAAACCTTATATAGAGTTGTATACCAATGGGTGGTTGTGTTTTACTTTTAATTATCACTATTTGACAACGATCAAAAGACTAAGGGATCAGATATAATATTATAATTGTTGTAATATATTTTTAACTTTAATTACATAATAAAATAGATATAAGATATCTTGGAATATAAATGCTCATTGTTTATGCTTATGTAAGAATTAGAACTTTGTTTAGTAATATATTGATAATAATAACAATTCTTATATTTTAAAATTTTTGTGAATCTCTTTTGTCTTTAAGACTAAATAAAAGCAATTAAAAGAACGTATAGTCGGAGATCAAAATTAAAATTAATTTATAATTAAATATTAGCTAGTGTAAGAACTATTTTATACTTTTATACACCGATCTTTAATTGATTTACTTTTTTCTATTATATTATTACGTACTTAATTACATGAATAAGAGAAGCAAGGTTCACAAGATCATGTTTTGAACGTAAATTATTTAAGTGATCAATCTCACAACGGAAATCGTGAAAATGGAAATGTAATATATTTTTCGCATTGTGTAAGAATTAATTTTAATTTATACTTTTGGAAGTCGATCTTTTATTAATCGATAAACTTTTATCTATTAAATTATCACTAACATGAACAGGAGAAACAAGCTGGTCCACAAGATCATGTTTTGAACATAGATAATTCAAGTGATTAGAGCGGGCGAAGTAATCATGGAAAGGTAATATTTGCAAGAATTAATTTTATACGTACTTTTGAACGTGATCGATCTTTTAATTGATGAACATTTTCTCTTTCACTATCACTACACTTATATAAACAGGAGAGGCAAGGTTCACAAGATAAGGCATTGAACACAAGTTGTTTAACTTGTCAAACTCACAACAGAGGAAGTGATATTAGAAAGGTTATATACTACATACTATCCGGCCACACACACACACACACACACACACACACACACACACACACACACACACACATATATATATATATATATATATATATAAATATATATATAGATTAGATAAGCTAAAAATATAATAAAATTTAATTCTCTTAACTAATTTTAATTTTCGTACGTTCACTTCTGGAAATTATGGAATTTCCGACCACTGAAAGTAATCTTAAATCAAGTTGATACCAAAAAGTAGTCGGAAATAGCAACAGAGGTTTTTCCGGATACCAAAAGTGATCGGAACAAGACTTTTCGACTTGATTTAAGATCACTTTCAAGTGGTCGGAAATTTCATAATTTCCAGTAGTGGTTATTGTCCAGTGCATGTTCTCATTAAATTAGCACGGAACTTATCAAAAATAGCATACAGGTCAGATTTTTGTGAAATACCAAGTGTAACGAGAGTAGTCATCAACAAAAATAACGAAGTAACGATATCCATTATTAGAAAGAATGGGAGCTGGTCCCCAAATGTCTGTGTAAATTAAATCAAGAACACACGAACTAGATGACTCAACACGTGGTAAGGGAAAACGTGCAGATTTCCCTGGCTGACACACATTACATAGACCCGAAGTACAACGAATATCGTTTCTAGACCCACTAATCGAACAAGACGAAAGAATTTGACTAAGAACACGTTGATGTGGATGACCAAGATGATCATGCCAATTTTAATTTTAGTACAATTTTTTTTTATATACATACAAGGGGAATAATCTAAAGAAATCTTCTTTTTTTTTTTTTTTTAGTACGGTTGACCCTGTTACATGTAGTATCAGTTCTAAAGAAACCTTATATAGAGTTTTATACCAATTGGTGGTTGTGTTTTACTTTTAATTATCACTATTTGACAACGATCAAAAGACTTAGGGATCAGATATAATATTATAATTGTTGTAATATATTTTTAACTTTAATTACATAATAAAATAGATATAAGATATCTTGGAATATAAATGCTCTATTAAATTATCACTAACATGAACAGGAGAAACAAGCTGGTCCACAAGATCATGTTTTGAACATAGATAATTCAAGTGATCAAACTCAGAGCGGGCGAAGTAATCATGGAAAGGTAATATTTGCAAGAATTAATTTTACACGTACTTTTGAACGTGATCAATTTTTTAATTGATGAACATTTTGTATTTCACTATCACTTAACATCAACACTTATATAAACAGGAGAGGCAAGGTTCACAAGATAAGGCATTGAACACAAGTTGTTTAACTTGTCAAACTCACAACGGAGGAAGTGATATTAGAAAGGTTATATACTACATACTATCCGGCCACATACACACATATATAATAAAATTTAATTCTCTTAACTAATTTTAATTTTCGTACGTTATTGTCCACTGCATGTTCTCATTAAATTAATAAATTAAATGATATGATGTGGTCGGTGATCAGGAGGGCAAATCAAGTGGTGACAATCTTAAACCAACTTTGGTATCCATTGGCCCCAAGTACGAATTCAAGACCCAAAAGTACAAGGCTACGCATTTCAATTCTTTTCTCAAAAGGGGAGGGGAGGGGACAACAAAATTAAACATGATGATGAGTATGTACCGGGAACACCTTAAGGATCCGGAGTTGAAATTGGTGAAAAAACCTCGAAAATATTATGCGGATATTGGAATTAACTGCCCTGGTAGTGATGAAGAGTTGGTGAACATGTTGCTGATTGATGGTGGTTTTTTGGTGGAGTTTGTTCTGAAATGCAAGGAAGGTGACAGTGACGACCTTCGCATAAAAGATAAAGGGAAGGAAGCCCGTAAAGACATGTTGTGCTTCGGGAATCAACTCCCTTTTGATGTCCTTAACGTCCTCTATCAAAAACTGATCGGCTATACCAAAGAGACAGACCCTCCGAGTTTCATAAGATTGGTGAAGTTCGCATTTGCATCGTTCGCCCCCAATATTACCATATCCAATTTCTTTGATGATACCAAACCTGAGAACCCCCTTGATATACTCCATGTTCTCCACACCCTTTGTCTTCCAATCAATGCCCCCCACCAACAAAACCAAACAGTTAACAAAGAGTGGCCAACACTAGTGCATATTATCAGTGCCACGGAGCTTCAAGACGTGGGAGTTATGTTTCATAACACTAGCGTAATCTACACTATGCCAAGGCAATACCACACAGTTTCATCCTTAAAAGAGTGCAAGGATACAACTAGCCTATTCGACATAACCTTTTCGGGCGGGGTGATGAAGATTCCTTCTTTCAAAGTCGACGACTTCACTGAAATATTCTTCCGAAACATGATTGCCCTGGAGCAATGCCGCACTCTAAAACCCAAATACTACACAGATTACGCCAGGTTGATGGACCACCTGGTGGACACCAATAAAGACGTGAGTTTGCTCCGCAAGAATGGAACCATTCACAACCTTTTAGGCGAAGATAAGAATGTGGCCGATGTGTTCAACAGTGTGTGTGTTAAGGTAGATATTACCACCAACTTCTATTTTGCACCGCTCTACACAGCTCTGAATCGCCATTGTAGCAACAGACTCCTTGTGTGGAAGGCAAGACTAAAAAATGATTATTTCTCCGATCCGTGGAAAGGGATTTCCTCTATTGCTGGTGCTATCGTCTTGTTACTTGGTGCCGCCCTCACACTCAAAAGTCTACTTTCTTAGACCCACCTCATTTCTCAATATGTGCACTACTTCAACTAGCTTCAATTCATCATTAATGTGTACTTTATACTAGCTGGTCACAATAAAAGCGACGCATCTAGCTAGTTGCAAGGCTTAGTGTCTTATGACCAGAGTTCATTAATGTGTACTTTATACTAGCTGGTCACAATAAAAGCGACGCATTTAGCTAAAGGACCATGGTTGGTTAAAATTTAATAGTTAAAGGACCATGTGTGGTAACTTGGATCAAGAATGGTTAAATTTGAAAATAGAAGAACTACAGATGATCAATTTGAAAGTTTAGGACTAAACGTGGCAAAATCACTATACTCGAAGGACCTCAGATGGTATTAACTCATATAAGAATTTAGTATTTTACGTCTATTAAGGATTAAACTAGTATTTGTCCCGTGCGATACACGGGAAATATGTTATAAAAATATACCCTATTTAAGGTTTATTCATATATCAAAATTTTATTATTTAATAATTATGTGTGAATTGCTATGATAAAATTGTGAACATAAATATATTTACAATTAAAATAAGAATTTTGATATTTAAGGTGTGTGATTACATACTACAAATCTTAAACTGTATTAAAAATTTAGTACATAGTATTTAATATTACAAATTTTTAAGCACTTAGTAAACTACAATAGTAATTGAATTACAATTTTCAGAGTCACCACGGATCAAAATTTTTAGACCTTTGAGATTTCTAACTCTAGATGTAACAATATACAATTGACTTTTAAAGACCAAACAATTATTTATAAATATAAATGACTATTAATCATCATCACCATTTTCTAAATAATAATATAGAAGATCCAAAAAAATTAAAGAATACAATAATAATAAGGATAGAGATAATAATTGTAACAATAATTGCTCATCAAAATAATAATTGTAACAATAATTGCTCACCAAATCATATGGCTATATTATAGTTAAGATTTATAAACATATATAACCAATACTACAAGTATAAGACATGATAATGTTATTAAATATGATACATTAATTGATATTTAATATAAAACAATGTGGTTTTAGACTAGCTAGGCCAGGTCCACCATGATTGTGCTTTCTGGTCCTAGATATAATTTTCCAATTATTAAGGACGAGATCAATTTGCACAAAGAAAATAAAACTTTCATTAAACAATATTCTCATCAGTACGTAGTGGTGTTATTTTAGTTGCTTTGCTGTTTGTCTCAATTCCTAATAACCATTTTGACAAATATTACAGCTACTTGTTACATTAAAATATAGCATATAGCATATAATAATAGGGTAACAACCATTTTGATTTTTATATCAGCCACTAACTAATTACTCTATTTCACATGACTAGCCGACAAGATGCATGGCTAGAATAATTTATCCTAAAACTATCCATGTATATCTTTGTAATATTCTCGCACTTTAAAAAATAAATTGAATCATATTATCGCTTTTGTAATTCAACACTATTTTTTCTACTTTCTTATAATTTTAGCTTACTTTCTGAATATAATAATTATTATTATTATTTTTTAAATAATAATAATAATAATAATAATAAGTTGATTGAAAAAAAAAAAACTACATTGAGTAGCTTTTTTAATTTTATCATTGTGAAACAATAAATTGTTACAAAAAACTAATTAATCAAACACTCATATTAATTGTTTAATCAAGTCAAACAACTAATAGTGATCAAATAAATAAAAATTGACTGATTTGCTAACTATTTTACCAAACATAGTCATTATCTTCCTCTCTTTCTTCCTTAACTAGCTATAAAAACTTGCTAAATTCTACCAAGCTAATTACATTTACTGACATCTAACTATAGTTCGACTCTTCAGTTCCATTTATATCGCTAATGTGTAATATAAATGTTTTTCTATTTTGTGTATCAATTTGCACCAATTAATTGATATTAGACTAAAAAAATTGATATTTTTCATTTTTGTTGTGTGTATACCACTTGGTGGTCCGGGTATTTCTCTGTCCGTTTAACAATCCAAGTCCATCCGACTTGTGGGAATCAAACCCAGATTATCCCGGAATTCTCCCCTCACAAAAAGAGCTCATTTACCACTTGATCGAGCTACCCCTTGGGTTTGATATTTTTCATTCTTAAATTATAGAAATATAATATTTTTTGCTCCTCATTTGTATGCAAAGTGAGTTATTTTCATTTTTCAATTGCTAGTGATTTTTTTTTTTTTTTTTTAAATTTAACTCAAAACCGGCCTAAAAAGTGTAGGTAAGAAAAATGTCACTTTATAGAAAATTGATTGACAAAATGTAATAGCAAGAAAAATTAAGGGATGAAAAGTGATATTTTTTTTAAAATTTATTGACAAAAAATAGCATTTTCCCTTGAGAATACGTAGATATTGTTGAAATTTGAAAACAAATTAAACATTAATAGATTAAGTGATGCGAAATTATAAATGGTTAATTACTTCCTATGAATTTTAAGACCATTAACAAAAGTTCACTCCCTTTTAAGTTTTTGCCCTCAAAGACTTAACAATTTTACACTTGACCATCGTCCCATCTAGACATTTATTCATCTTTCTAGTTTCAACTAGTTAGAATTTGTTTATTAAATATTACCCATTTTTTATACTCTCTATCACAATTTACATGTCATATTTACTATTTATTAGTCAAACAATTATTTCTTTCTTTACTTATTTTTATTAATTAATTTAATTTTTTTTTTATATTTGATAGTACTTTTAACATAGTTTCAAAATATATAAATTTTATATATTAATACTAAACTTAATATTATAAAAAATTAAATTAAAAATAACTTCAATAAAACTTGGTTAACCAAGACATATAAAATTGCACGAAAGGATTAGTAATTAAATGGTGAATGTTAATCATAGTTGTTATATTAAAATTAGACATTACAGGTCATTAAATGACTATCTTACTATTTATTGAATTTGTCACCACTCACCATACTGAATACTAAGCTACTTTATTTATTTATTTTGTCATTCAATGAATGATTCCCGACAACTACACCATTTTTTTTATCTTTGAATTAAAATATTTAATGCTACAAGTTGCAGAAAACCACCAAAACATTTAACTTTAAAAAATAGCATTGCATTATAGAGGCAGCCATTATTGAATTCCTGTTGATATTAATTAAATTAGTTCCACATTTGCTTCTTCTGTGAAAGCTTGCACACAATCGAAGTAACTAACAAAAAATTGCATTATCACACACAAACTGATCTAGAGATTGAAGAATGGCTTGTGTAGCAGTAGCTTCTCTTGTGAGAACAATAGAGATTGAGTTCTTGCAATATAAGCCTCGTCCACTTGTACTGCACAATCATCTCATCTCTTCCAACAAACACTTGATCCAATCTTTCCACCAAAATCTTGGATTTCTAATATGTCAGCTCGAGGAGGAAAGAATCGATGGTGTTGAAGCAGTTAAACGCTTGGAAACCAAGCTCAGGGATTTAGCTTTCAGAGTGGAAGATGAAATCGAATTCCTAGTAGCACACCTTTATGATTATGAATATTTAGACGGAATAGCAGATCTCTTTGTGGAAGAGAGGGACACAAATGCGGAGAAGACGACTCAGCCTTGTGTGAAACTTGGTCAAGTTTTTCAAAGTGCAATGGAAGAAATTGAAGCCATCAAGGAAGAGTTGGTGAAAATCAAGAATATGGACGAGGCAGAAGGAAGAAAGACAGCCCCTGATGTTATACGAAGGTCTGAAGTTCTTTCCTCCCAGCACGCTTCACACTCCAAGGAACAAATGGTCGGGAAAGAAGACGAGTTTGGGACAATCAAGAAGCTGCTAACTGAATTTGGATCCAAGGAAAAAAAAGTTGTATCAATTATAGGTATGGGAGGAATCGGTAAAACAAATTTGGCCAGACAACTTTATGAAGATTCATCAGTTTCTATCCACTTTGACGTGCGAGCTTGGGTTGTCGCATCACAGCTTCACAATAAGAGGCAAATGCTTGTAGGTCTTCTTAATTCAATTTCCAAACAAGGCAACCTAGAAAACTCCACTGATGAGGATCTTGCTTTAAAACTCTACCAATGTTTAAAGCGTCAAAGGTACATGGTTGTGGTTGATGATGTGTGGAGTGGTGAGGCATGGGATGATGTTAGCAATTGCTTTCCTGATGATGGAAATGGGAGTCGAGTATTGTTAACTACTCGTCTCGTAGCAGTGGCAAATTATATTAGCTCCGACAATGACTTTTTTCATCATATGCAATTATTGGATCAAATTGATAGTTGGAATTTATTTTGTGAAAAGGCAGGTAAATCTCGTGGTGCTGCATTTGAGATCATCGGGAAGCCAATTGTTAAAAAATGCAAAGGATTGCCTCTAGCAATAATTGTGGTTGCCGGACTATTCTCCAAACTCAACACACTAAATGAGTGGGAGAATATTGCAAAAGCTCTAGATTCTTCTACAACAACAACTATTGCGGAAACATGTTCAAAAATACTCTCACTCAGCTACAATCACTTGCCTCACCACTTAAAGGCATGCTTTTTATATTTAGGGATTTTTCCAGAAGATAATAAGATCATTGCTAATGAGCTTTCAAGGTTATGGTATGCGGAAGGACTTGTAAAGGCTTCCGAGAATGAAAATTTCGATGTAGTGGCTGAAAGGTACATACAAGAACTTATGGATCGAAACCTAATTCTTGTGAGCAAGTGGAGTTGTTGTGGAAGAAAAATTAAAGTGTTTGGGGTGCATGATTTATTGCATGCCTTTTGTGTGAAAGAAGCTCAAAATGAGAACCTTCTGCATGTTATTCGAAATAATGGTTCAGATTTTCCTCAAAGAAGCTTCCGTTGGGTAAGCATACAATCATCAAATTTTGATGTGTCTACATTACCTTATTCATCAAGAAGCTGTCGGTCCATCTTCTGTTTTTCACTCTCCACAAACTTAAATTTGAAACAATTCAAGCTATTGAGAGTATTATTCTTTATTAGCCACCCTTGGATGTACAAAAATATTGTGGATCTTGTCCATTTGAGATATTTACCTCCAGCTCTTCATAAACAAAATATTATGGAACTGTTCAAGGCTTGGAATCTTCAAACACTATATATTCGTGCATTTGATAGGAACTATTTGGAGTTTCCACAACTGCAATATTTTTGTTGTTTATTTATTACGGGACATCCTCCCAAATATGTTCATCAAAACTTGCAGAGTCTTTCTTGGTTGAGGCCTAATCATTGCACAAAAAACTTCTTTACACATGTTCCAAACTTAAAGAAGATACGGATTTTCGGTGAAAAAATTGAGTGCAATGATTGCATCGAGAACCTTGTCGGTTTACAGCAGCTGGAGAGACTGAATATTCATGGTAATAGATGGCATTATACGATTCCAAAAATGATCCAGATTAATAGCCATATTGTTCTCTTGAAAAGCCTTAAGAGGTTAAAATTTCGAAGTACTTGTTTTGGGTGGAATGGAATTAATGTTCTTTGCAAGTTGCCTAGGTTGGAGGTGCTCGAGTTAAGTGGTGCATGTGTAGGCGAAGAGTGGGAGCTACCAGAGGATGACAAATTCTGCCAGTTAATTGTTTTGAAAATTGGTGCAACTAATCTCGAGGATTGGAAAGCCACTGGTGATCATTTTCCAAAACTTGAGCACCTCTCCCTTTTTTCATGCAAGGAACTGAAAGAGATCCCCAGCGAGTTTGCAGAAATTTCAACATTGAAATCAATCCAATTAAGGCGCTGCCTTCCTTCTGTGGTGGCTTCAGCCAAGGAAATAAAGGAAGAACAACTTGATTATTTGAATAATATTGTGAATGTGGTTGTGACGAAGCAACATGCAATGGCTACTAGCTTTCCGGTCTCTCTCCCGGCCTTTATTATCTTTCTTAATTACTTACTTTTCTTTCTAAACTCCATTCAATTTCATCATTATCCTAATTTAGTTTCAACCATTCATGACAGGTTTTTGAGCATTGATGAGTATGATGAAGCTTAGTTTGATGGATGAAATTGAATTGTGCCAGAACAGTACAAGGAGAAAAGCTTGAGAAAAGAAGAGTAGAGAAAAATGGGTATGCATGCATGTCTATCTATCATTGTGAATCATAAAATTTGACCTTGCAACATTGTATGAGAAAGCATTGCATCACTCTAATTAATTCATTTGCATGTGCTACTTTAAAGCGTCCTTTAATTTGTTGTGCTTTTTGTTTTAAAAACCTTTGTTTCTATTTCATTCATAAGGTAATGCTTGAAGTTCATTCAATGTTTATATTGGTTTGGCCTTTAACTTTGCAGCTCAGTTAAATGTTATTATAATTTATTTTTGATTGAAGTGAATAAATGTTATAGCAGTAATAGCATATATATTCAGCAAAAGAATGCCAGAATGGCAAATTTGTGGGGTGGTGTGCAATGAGATATTTGAAATTATAATGTAAAAGCAGCATCTTATCATTCATCAACTCCATGCCAGCAGATTTGTGCATTACTGGAGACTGTTTTCTTTTACCGTCGCTGGTCTCAATAGGCGGCTTCCAAGCTTAAAACCACGACAACAGAATTGTTGATCAGAGTTATTATTCCCTCCTGAGATTCTTCTATTCTCCAGCAATTGCAAGGGATCAAATGGCTTGCCAACAGTGACTTGCAAGCTCTTCAAATTGCTTGTATATACCTTGCTGGTAACTGGTGTCTATCTTTTAGTTTTCTCCCTATGTGTTTCTAGTTTAATCAGTTGCTTAGCTCTCTCAAATTAATGTTGTCTACAACCATTATATTAGGGCAGGAGGTTTAATTTTCGACTACTTCAGTGAATTGTTGAGAAAATATGTGATAGAAAGTTGATTTGATTAATGTGATAGAAAGTTGGGTAAAGGTTTTTTTTTTTTTTTTTTTTTAATATTGAAAAAATTCACACACTTGCTATTATTCCCTAATTGATCAAAAGTAAAGTGTAATGAAGGAAATAACAAAAGAAGTTGATAGTGCTTCGCCATTCGCCAAGAATTATAACTCCCCTAGTCTAATGTTCCCTCTCTAGGAGAAATTTTCACTATATAACAGGGCGTTTGGTTGGAGGGGGAAATTATGTGGGAAAGGAATTGTAATTTCATGGGAGTTGAATTATTGGGAATAAAGTGGGAATTTAAATTCCAGTGTTTGGTTGACAGGAATAGAATTACTGGGAATTTCAATTCCAATGTTTGGTATACATGGGAATTGAAAGGAAATAAGTAGTATAAAGTCAAAAATGTCCATTATTGTTGTTAGACATTAATTTTAGGTTAAAAAAGGAAGGGGTAATATTGACTCATCACTATCTTTTTTTCCTAGGAATTAAAATACCAGGGGGACATGGGATTTTAATTCCATGAAAATGGAGGAATTGCAATTCCATGGAATTACAATTCCCTCCAACCAAACTACGGAATTTAATGACATTTGGAATTAGGTGGGAATTAAGTGGGAAGGGAATTTAAAATCCCTCCAACCAAACGCCCTGTAAGTAGTACTAGTAATTGTCCCGTGCGATGCACGAGCTATTATTAATTTAACAAATTTATCAATTAAATTTTTGACATCCTCTGAATTAGCAAAGAAAGTAATGGTTGTGGAAACAGAAAAACGTACTTGAGTTCTTGAGCTCAGAATTAGTTTGATTAAAAATGTAAGTATAACTATACAATAATAGTTAATATTTTTAAAAGTTTAATTATGCTATTAGTATGTTGATTTTAAAGTTTATTGTTACTTGTATTATTATTTGAATTTGAATTTTTTTTTTAAAGGAATTTGAATTTGAAATAACTACTTTAATTATATAACTAACGTATTTAAATAAAACTTGTAAATAAAATAACAGGCGATATTTGTCGAAAATCTCCACCAAAAACTTATTCATTTGAAAAAGATTATTTATTAAAGAACTATATTTATTTTATATCTAATTTCCCCTCTTTATATATGTGGAGTCAAATTAATTATAATCGACGTTTAAATGAATATATAAACAAATTATATTAAATATAAAACTTTTTCAAAAAAAAAATATTAAATATAAAACTTTACCAATAAATTTGAACACAATAAACTTTTTTCCATACTTCATTATGCTTTAATATATATAGAGATAGAGCTATAATAATAAAATATAATTTATAAAATATAAATACACATAATAATTTAAAAAAAAATATGTATAAATACATCTACCCACACAATTAATGCATTTATACTTGAATCTTATTTCTATCAACTAGTTTTGTACGCGCATTGCGCGATTGTGATAATGCCCAATGTTTTTTTTTTAAATAAGTAATTTAACGTATATCAAGGCAAGATTATATTGGAATTGTTCATGCATACATAATTAAATGTTGAATTTGCGTATTTAAATAGGTATGTAATTCTAAGTTTAAAAATGCAAGATAATATAGTCAAGATTGATTATAATTGTCAATAAAATAATTGTATAGGTATGGTTGAAACCAAATACGGGACATAAGGGAGAGCAAATAAAAATTAGGGCATAAAATATTAAATATATACTATATTGAAGAGCTAACTGCTGATTGCCAAATAAGAACATTGCGAGATAATTTCCCACTTCAATTTGTTGTGTGATTTGAATACTCTTTTCGTCCATAAATCCCCCAAGTAGTTAATACGATTGGCTTAATTATATATATATATATATATATATATATATATATATATATATATATATATATATATATATATATATATATATATAGGGTTGAGTTCAAATGAGGACAACAATATATAGAGGACTGTGAGGACAAATAATGGGCATACAACAAATTACTATCAGGCACACAATTTAATACATAATGGCACACAAGAATACATGTAAGCATCAGGTTTCGAACCTAGGCTCTATTAATTAACAAAAGTATGCACGCGACATACAAACTGTGGCACACGACTACATTCGGCCATGCACACAACATACAGGCTAATGGCACACACTACATCTGTCCTCACAGTCCTCTATAATATACTTGTCCTCATTTGAACGCAAGTATATATATATATATATATATATATATATATATATATATATATATATATATATATATATATATATAACAATTATTATTATTATTATTATTATTATTATTATTATTATTATTATTATTATTATTATTATTATTATTATTATTATTATTATTATTATACTCTTAGATCATTTTACATGTTAATCTAAACAGCTAATTTTTTCAAATATCTTTTTATCAACCATTGATATAATTCACTTGTCAAATATGCTAATATAATCCGCTAACGCTAACCGCTAACTGCTGATTATCAAACCAAGACATTGCGAGATAGTTCTCACTTCAATTTGTTGTGTGATTTGAATACTCTCTTTGTCAACAAATCCCTCAAATAGTTAATATGATTGGCTTTATTAATTATATATTTTTTAAATTTTTCATGGTATCAATAAAATACTTGGTAAATAAATATATAGCATTATTTTGTATTATAACTTTGATATTTAATTAAAAAAAAATAGTGCACAAAAAATATAATAGACAATGTAGTGAATATAATTAATTGATGAATTTGAATGTAAAGAATTTTTACATTGGAGAAAAATAAAGACAATATAACTAATAAAATTATTTCTCTTAATTAATTTATTGATTATGAATAATTTTTTTTAATAAAGACATTGTAGGGACAATGTAGCGAATATAATCAATTGCTGAATTTGAATGTAAAGAATTTTTATATTGGAGAAAAATAAAGACAATATAACTAATTAAATTATTTCTCTTATTTAATTTATTGATAATGAATAATTTTTTTTTTTTTTGAATAAAGACATTGTAGACACATAATTCTAAATTAAAGAAATGCATATGTATTATTTTTTGTTGTAGCTACTAAATTATTATTTAATTTAATAAGAGTTAAATAGAGTACTAATTATGCCAACTTTGATTGAGATGAAGTTCGAACCTAAGACCTTTCTTATTGAAATCAATGGATAAGTCAACGGTGAACTAACAGAAATTAACGGAAAAGATAATATTTAACGGAAAAGTTAACGGATAATCATAATCATTAAGGATAAATTTGGAAATCTCAAGGAAAAATTAAAATTTGATCAATCTGAGCCATTTATTTAATTAAAATCTGTGACCGCCATTTTTTCTATCCATTATAGGCCTAACTCTCTTGGACTCTTATTAGTATATATATAGTAGAAATGCATTCACACTTTGGGAGAAAATTTTGTAGCTATATTCTGCTTTATTATATATATATATATATATATATATATATATATATATATATATATATATATATATATAAAGAAGATAAAAGATTAGTTTTGTACAAAACTTGAATACAATAGCTACTACAACCGGCAAATTATATTATGCACCGCGCGTCTTTTTTTTTAAATGAAAATAAACAGTGTTTGCTTCCGCCGTTTCGCACCCTTTTGCAAAAAGTAACTCTGTTATTCAGTGTCATTTTGTATACACTGCAGTTTCAGTTCAACACAACTACAGTTTCATTTTGATATAACTATAGTTTCATTCGATATTTATAGACTCAAATATGTGAAAATGTCATTTAATTTTATTTTATATACACTATAGTTTCATTAAAACACAACTATATGATCATTTTGATATAATTACAACTTTATTGTACAATATACACTCAAATATGTGAAATGTTATTCAGTTTCATTTTATATACACTGCAGTTTCATTTCACTATAACTACAGTATCATTTTGATATAACTGCAGTGTCGATTTAGATATATTATAGTGTCAATTGGTATTTAATACACCAAACAAGCGGACTCCGTTAACTCTAACGGCGCCGTTTTTGACCGTGGTGCACATGCACCGCGGTCTATAATATAACGACTGACTACAACCCATCACAGCCTATAATTAACTGCAAGATTCAACTAACCCAATCTATTTCACAAGAACTTATACGTGATGGTACTCCTTTATATGCAAATTAAAGGATTTTAATTAGCTCTAAAACTCTAGTAAACTGGTATAGATGTATTCTTTAAAATTTAGGGAGCTGAGAGAAGTTTTGGCAATGTAAAGGTGATGTGTTGGGACTCAAACTTGAGAAAAAGACCAATTAAGATGAATAATGTTATTGTGGAGAAGAGAAGTTGGAAGCAGCCATCAATATAATGCATCCAAGGATAGAGATTCAACCTCAACTCTCTATAACAAAGTTCTAGACAAATTTGTTTTCGAAACTTTGCAATCTGAAGGATGCAAATAAATCATAATTTACACCAACTACGAGCTGTAACAACATCTTTTTATTAGGGACGGAGCCAGAAATTCAATAAGGGGGCGAAGAAGTACAGACGGATTCGAAAATTTTTTCAGTAAAGGCAAAACATTAAAACAAAAGAGATAATTTAAAAAAATAAATAAATAAATTACCTAAGAAATATAGTTGTAAATATTGTTGGATATGGACGAAAAATAAAACGCAACGAAACTGTATAAAAATATTCATAACAAAATATGAAACATAATTAATTTGATAAAATAATTTGAATATAAAACATATTATAAATTACACATCTCATTATTAATATAAAAAAATGTTATATACATATGTGTGTATTAAATATTAAAAAAGCAATCAAAAACATGACTGTCTACCAAAAGATTTGTACCTATAACCTTTGCTATTATCAAACACCTACTCTGCTAACTAATCTATCCCATTTCTTATTGACATTTGATAGTTTTTTTTATACTAATACTAAAACATGTACTATATCTTTATCTTTATATATATATATATATATATATATATATATATATATATATATATATATATATATATATATATATATATATTATATAATATTATATAATAAAGCAGAATCCTAGATTTCCCTCCAAAATTGTAAATGGGCTTTGTGAAAATGGGTTGCAGAGAGAAATCTAGGATTCTACTTTATTTTATATATATATATATTACAAGTATAGTACATGATAATGTTATTAAAATGATATATTAATTGACATTTAATATAAAACGATGTCGTTTTAGAGTAGATCAGGTCCACCATGATTGTGCTTTCTTCTGGTCCTAGATATAATTTTCCAATTATTATGGACGAGATCAATTTGCACAAAGAAAATGAAACTTTCATTAAACAATATTCTCTGTAGTGGGTGTTATTTTAGTTGCTTTGCTGTTTAATTTGTCTACATTTCTAACAACCATTTTGACAAATATTTTTTTAATACTAATAAAGATATAGAATTGATTCCTGTGCACTGGAATCTGGAATGATAATTAGTGAAGGATCTTGCATGTGGCAAAACCATAATTTGTTTTTAAGGATTTTTAGACTTTTAGCATTTCTATACAAGGATTAATAAATTTGTTAAAGAAAAACACCCCACGTGATAAAGACGCAATTAAAAAATAAAAAATAAACATTAGGGACCGTTTACTAACTGAAAATTTTTGAAAATTGAAAAATAAAAAACAAAAGACATGTTTACTAACACAGTTTTTCATTTTGAAAATTGAAAATAATTTTTAAAAATTTCTGAAAAACTAGAACACACTTAAAAACTGTTTTCGAAATGGAAAATAGAATCATCTATCATCTATTTAGTTATATGTCACTATAACCACATTGATATGATTACATTCATTATCATCTTATTTTACTTATCACTATCTTTTATATTTTCTACTTACTTTACTTATTTAAATATAATTTATTTGCTTACACTTTAAAGTTAGACATTATTTACATTATCAAAATTAAGAATTAAACTATATATAATGTTTTAGATTTTGATTGAACTCAAGAGATTATTAGTTCAAATATTTTTAATTATGTTACATCATAATACAAGTTCGGTCAAATATCGGATATTGAAATCTCATATACATTAGAATTCAAAGTAAAAGTTACATATTCATATACATGTCATTCAAATGAATATATCCAAAAAAATATTTTAAATATTAACTCAAAAATGTTAATATTATCTAAACTAAATTTTAGGTGAAAACTGAAAAATTAGAAAACAAAAACTAGAGAACGGTTTTCTGTTAGTAAACAAGTTTTCTAAACAGAAAACAGAGAATGAAAACTGAAAAATTAGAAAACAGAAAACAGAAAACAGTTTTCTGTTGGTAAACGGACCCTATTATTCTTAATATATAGTCATGCAATGCACACATGGGCAACTCAACTGGTCATAGAGGTGAAAGTTTGGAAGAATGATCAGGGATCGAGTCTCATCAGTGGTAGTGTGGGAGCAACCTCTCAAAGTGAAGGGTAAGCAAAGGTCTAGCCTCTGTGGTTCATGTTCAGTTGAGTTACGTTACCATGATTTATATCCTCCCAAATGCTCGGGCCCTTAGGGTTGGGGTTCAACATTTGGAAGAATATATAGTCATGCAAGATACATCCAAATTTTTTCTTTGACTTCGCGTTACCTCATTTAATTATTTAATTTTTTTTTGAATGACGAGAGAAACTGTAGATACTATCTGAAAATATGTAAACAATGAGATAAATTAGCCTAGATCTTTTATAGCTAACCGACTCAAACCAAGAAGATCAATAGACCATGTACTCCCATGGATAATCGAACTTGTAATCTTATGGTTACTAAGTCAATAACCTAACCAATATTTGATTATAAGTGTGATCAATTAATTCGTTGACACCTAATAAATATAAATTACATTATGAGTAAAAATTAAGGGTCACTTTGGAAACCAAAAAATGACTTTCGAAAGTTATTTTTGGATTTTTCCTTGTTTGGTTATTCAAAGAAAATAAAGTTAAAAGAGAAATGTTATTCTGGTCAATGAAAAAAATTAAAGGTTCAATAACTTCAATTTATAGTCGGAATACATTTTTCAAATTCTTTTTTTTTTCCTTGTTTTTTTTTTTAATCTATCTTTAAGCTTGTTTACGAATTATTATTACAACTAGCCTCACCAAAAAATTAAAATATTTTTTAAAAATAAGTCATTTTAAAAAATCATTTTTCAAAAAAAAATATATATATATATATATATATATTGTCAAAGCTTCCAAACAAACCCTACATTATATAAAAGGGTCTAAATTCAAAGTTTACAAGGAAATTAAATATTGATTAGTCTCTCTCAATAAATACACCATACCGCATGCATTAAGTACTGCCCATACAATAATCAGCAGCAGAGAGAGATTACCAAATCCCAAATTCCACAACTCCTTTCCTCTCCTCTCCTCTCCTCAGGTATGCATTATCTTCCCCTCTTAGCTTTCTTCCTTAAAAACTTGCTAAATTCTACAAAACTAATTACATTTACTCACATCTAACTAAAATTCTTAGACCCTTTATTTCAATTTATATCGCTAAGCTGTAATATAAACTTTTTCTATTGTGTACCCATTTGCACCAATTAATTGATAGTAGACTGATTATTTTTTTTTTGATATTTTTCATTCTTAAAGTATATATTTTTTGCTCCTCATTTGTATGCAAAGCGAGTTATTTTCATTTTTCAATTGTTTGTGATTTTTGTTTTTTTTTTTTTATTAACTCAAACCTTAAATAGTTTAGGGATGAAAAATGTCTTTTTCCTGACAAAATGTGCAAGAAAAATTAAGGGATGGAAAGTGATTTTTCTTAAAATTCATTGACAAAAAATAGCATTTTCCCAAGAGAATAGGTAGATATTGTTGAAATTTGAAAACATATATCAAAGACTCTAACAATTTTACAGCTGACCATCCCATCTAGACATTTATTTATCTTTCTAGTTTCAACTAATTAGAATTTGTTTATTAAATATTACCCATTTTTTATACTCTCTTGGTTCAATCTTTGTTAATCGAATCTGTGTTGTTGTTGATACGTGTTGGAATGTGTTTGGACATGGTTTTGGGTTCCAAACGGACCCTAATTAGAATTTGTTTATTAAATTTACCCCTTTGTCACAATTTATCTGTCATATTTTACTATTTATTAGTCAAGTCAATTCTTTCTTTCATTACTTATTTTTAATTAATTTTAAATTTATTTTTTGTATATATTTAATAATGCTTTTAAAATTATTTCAAAATATATAAATTTTACATACTAATACTAAACTTAATATTATAAAAAATTAAATTAAAATAACTTCAATCAAACATGATTAACCGAATTGAACAAGATACATAAAACTGGACAGAAGGAATAATAATAATTAAAAATTGAATGTTAATCATAGTTGTTATATTAAAATTAGACATTACAGCTTATTAATGACTATCTTACTATTTATTGGATTTGTCACCATACTGAATCCTAAGCTACCATTTTTTTTTTTTTTGGTAATTCAATGAATGATTCCTGACAACTACATTTTTTATATCTTTCCAACAAGAAGCTAAGCTATGATGTTATCTTTGATCGAATTAAAATATTTAATGCTACAAGTTGCAGAAAGCCAACAAAACATTTAACTTTAAAAAATATCATTGCATTATAGAGGGTGTCTTGCCATTATTGAATTCCTGTTGATATTAATTAAATTAGTTCCACTTGCTTCTTCTGTGAAAGCTTACACACAATCGAAGTAACTAACAAAAAATTGCATTAACAAGGGTGTTTTGCCATTATTGAATTTCACCATGTGCAGTGCAGTTCCTGTTGATATTAGTTCCACTTGCATATTCAATTCTGTGAAACCTTACCCACAATAATCAATCAAAAGAGTTGCAGTTGCAGTTTCATCTATCGCACACAAACAGATCTAGATGGCTTGTGTAGCTGTAGCTTCTCTTCTGAGAACAATAGAGCTTGAGTTCATGCAATATAAGCCTCGTCCACTTGTACTGCACCATGATCTCATCTCTCACAACAAAGGCTTAATCAAATATTTCCACCAAAAGCTTGGATTTCTCATAAATGAGCTCGATGAGGAAAGAATCAATCTGGATGGTGTTGAAGCAGTTAAAGACTTGGAAATGAAGCTGAGGGATTTAGCATTCAGAGTGGAAGATGAAATCGAAATCCTAGTAGCACACCTTTATGATGATGAGGAAGATGCGGAGAAGACGACTCAGCCTTGTGTGAAACTTGGCCAAGTTTTTCAAACTGCAATGGAAGAAATTGAAGCCATCAAGGAAGAGTTGGTGAAAATCAAGGCAGAAGGAAGAAAGACAGCCCATGATGTTATACGAAGGTCAGAAGTTCTTTCCTCCCAGCACGCTTCACACTCCAAGGAACAAATGGTCGGAAAAGAAGACGAGTTTAGGACAATCAAGAAGCTGCTAACTGAACATGGATCTAAGGAAAAAAAAGTTGTATCAATTATAGGTATGGGAGGAATCGGTAAGACAACTTTGGCCAGACAAGTTTATGAAGATCCATCAGTTTCTATGCACTTTGACGTGAGAGCCTGGGTTGTCGCATCACAGCTTCACAACAAGAGGCAAATGCTCGTAGGTCTTCTTAATTCAATTTCCAAACAAGGCAACCTAGAAAACTCCACTGATGAGGATCTTGCTTTAAAACTCTACCAATGTTTAAAGCGTCAAAGGTACATGGTTGTGGTTGATGATGTGTGGAGTGGTGAGGCATGGGATGATGTTAAAAATTGCTTTCCTGGTGATGGAAATGGGAGTCGAGTATTGTTAACTACTCGCCTCGCAGAGGTGGCAAATTATATTAGCTCCAAGAATGACTTTTCTCATCATATGCAATTATTGGATCAAACTGATAGTTGGAATTTATTTTGTGAAAAGGCAGGTAAATCTCGTGGTGCTGAATTTGAGATAATCGGGAAGCCAATTGTTAAAAAATGCAAAGGGTTGCCTTTAGCGATAATTGTGGTTGCCGGATTGTTCTCCAAACTCAACACACTAAATGATTGGGAGAATATTGCAAAAGCTCTAGATTCTTCTACAACAACTGTTGCGGCAACATGTTCAAAAATACTCTCACTAAGCTACAATCACTTGCCTCACCACTTAAAGGCATGCTTTTTATATTTAGGGGTTTTTCCAGAAGATAATGAGATCAATGCTAATGAACTTTCAAGGTTATGGTCTGCGGAAGGACTTGTAAAGGCATCCGAGAATGAAAACTTTGATGTAGTGGCTGAAAGGTACATACAAGAACTTATGGATCGAAACTTAATTTGTGTGAGCAAGTGGAGTTGTTGTGGAAGAAAAATTAAAGTGTTTGGGGTGCATGATTTATTGCATGCCTTTTGCGTGGAAAAGGCTCAAAAGGAGAACCTTCTACATGTTGTTCGAGAAAATGGTTCAGAGTTTCCTGAAAGATGCTTCCGTTGGGTAAGCATACAATCATCAAATTTTGATGTGTCTACACTATGTTATTCATCAAGAAGCTGTCGGTCCATCTTCTGTTTTTCAGAACGCATAAGCTTAAATTTGGAACAATTCAAGCTATTAAGAGTATTCTTCTTTAGGCGCTTTCTGATACACTATAATATTATTATAGTGGATCTCGTCCATTTAAGATACTTACCTCCACCGTTTCATCATATAAATATTGTGGAACTGTTCAAGGCTTGGAATCTTCAAACACTATATATTTGTGCAGATCATAGGAACTATTTGGAGTTTCCACAACTGCAATATTTTCGTTGTTTATTATCTATTATGGGACATCCTCCCAAATTTGTTCATCAAAACTTGCAGAGTCTTTCTTGGTTGAGGGGTAAGCATTGCACAAAAGAATTCTTTTCACATGTTCCGAACGTAAAGAAGATACAGATTGACGGTGGAGTAAGAGAGTGCAATGATTGCATCGAGAACCTTGTCAGTTTACAGCAGCTGGAGAGACTGAGTATTTGTGCTAGTGAATTCAATAATACAAGTCCAAAGATGATCCAGATTAACAGCCATATTGTTCTCTTGAAAAGCCTTAAGCGGTTAAAATTTGAAAACAATCATTTTGAGTGGAATGGAATTAATGTTCTTTGCAAGTTGCCTAGGTTGGAGGTGCTCAAGTTAAGTGATGCCTGTGTAGGCAAACTGTGGGAGCTATCAGAGGATGACAAATTCGGCCAGTTAATTGTTTTGGAAATTGGCTTAACTTATCTCAATGATTGGAAAGCCACCGGTCATCATTTCCCAAAACTCCAGCACCTCTCCCTTTTTCGGTGCAAGAACTTGAAAGAGATCCCTAGCTGGTTTGTAGAAATTGACGGATTGAAATCAATCCAATTAGCGCGTTGTCGTCCTTCTGTGGTTGCTTCAGCCGAGAAAATCAAGGAAGAACAACTTGATTATGGTAATAGTGTGGATGTGATTGTGGCAGAGCAACATGGCTAGCTACTAGCTTTCTGGTCTCTCTCCCGGCCTTTATCTTTCTTAATTACTCACTTTTCTTTCTTAACTCCATTCAATTGTATCATTATCCTGACTTAGTTTCACCATTCATGACAGGTTTCTATGAAGCTTAGTTTGATGGATGAAATTGAGTTGTGCTAGAGGAGTAGAAGAAGGAAAGCTTGAGAAAAGAAGACTAAAGAAAAATGGATATGCATGTCTATCTATCTATCATTGTGAACTCCCTCTGTGTTTCTAGTTTAATCAGTTGCATGCTTAGCTCTCTCAAAGTTGTCTGTCTAAAACCATTATATTAGGGCAGGAGCTGAGGTTTTCGACTACTTCATCCCCCCTAAATGTCCATTTCTCCTTGTCACACCTTTTCCTGAAATTATCAAAATCGGCTTGAATTGCAACCTCATATATCTTTTCCTTTTTTACTCGATTGGCACATCATAGCCTCAATAGCTTTTAATTTACATCTCCAATTTTAAAATGGCAACTTTGTAAAATTGCATGAGGGACTTTAAACTACTGCTACAATATTTCTCATCTCATCTGCAGCTTCATTTTCTGACACTCCTAGCTAGTTTACTGGGACTAGCCTCATCACCATTTTGTTTGGGGAGCAGAGTCTTTAGGAATAAGGGCAGTTCTGGGCAAGGAGTGCCCATAAGCAGAGTCTCACACTTCAAACTTTCTTTCCATGTATGATGAAATTGTAATAATTCGTAGGTGAGGCGAATTGCAATTTCTCAAATTTGAAGAATTATAATTTCATAGAATTTCAATCTTTCCTAACTAGACTTTAGAATTTCTCACTCCTTCGGGAAAAAAAAATTGAATACATGTTTATACATACTTTCTCAACCTGTTGAAGACAAAGAGTCAACATTTCTTCACTATATATTAGTTTTGTACAACCAATCACAGCCTCTAACTGCAAGATTCAACAAACCCAATCTATTACACATGAACTTAAACGTGATGTCTCCCAGCCTTAATTTCCCAATTTGAGATGGTACTCCTTTATATGCAAATTAAAGGATGTTAGCTCTAAAACTCTAGAATGTACACTAGTATAGATGTATTCTTTAATTTAAAATTTAGGGAGCTGAGAGAAGTTTTGGCAATGTAAAGGTGATGTTTTGGGACTCAAACTTGAGAAAAAGACCAATTAAGATGAATAATGTTATTGTGGAGAAGAGAAGTTGGAAGCCATCAATATAATGCATCCAAGGATATATAGAGATTCAACCTCAGCTCTCAGGATTGCTTCTGCATGCTTTCTTCCTAGACTTATATAGGAAGCCCAAGACAAGATAAAACTAATTGTCAAATTAAAGTCAGAAAGTCGAAATGTATTCAAATTAAAATGATAAAACTAATTGTAAAAACTCTATGATTTTTACCATATTGCAACAATTTTTGTACTCAACTACAATAGATTGCCCAAAAAAGGGATTTACATATCATATATATGAGAAATAGCAACGTAACTAGGGTCTCAAGAACCCCCCAGAAAATTACAGTATGGGTGATAATGAATGATCTGATCTGGTCTGCTATACAACTAAAAGGAAACATATCTTTGATGACTATTACTATTACTTCAAATCTCTCATATATTTACCTTCAATTCTGAATTGAGAGGCAAAGGAGAAACTCCAATTCTCTGCAGTTTAGGGAATGACTATACAGAGCTGTTCCAAAACTCTCCAACTTATATGTGAATGAATACTAGCTACAAGTCACCTATTGTTGTCAAAACCTGTTAGTCATGCCAAAGGCTAGGATTCATATCATGTTAAATCATCACTACCATTTTTCAATTCCTTTGAGGCTCTTTTGAATTCCTTTGCAAGTATGCTTTTCAGTTTTTGCCTCAAATTAGAAGCCTCATGAGGCTTGAACCACTTCTTTCCAAACTGAAACCAATAAATAAATAACAATAATCATAATAATTAGCAGCAGTAGTAATAATAAGAAGAAAAGGAGAAGCAAATCGGTAATATTTAGGTATAACATGGAACTGAATGATATCATACATTACTATCAGAAATAAAGAGGGAAAAATAGTACCATATCTAGATCCTTCCTTTTCAGCCTCTCAGAAACTTCATCAATAAACCGTTCTATAAAGAAAAGTACAAAGGGGCCGCAGTCATAGTCATTCTTTTGTTGAGGAACCTGTCACCAACAAAAATTGTGCTGAAGAAACATAGGAGATAAAAGGAAACATAAGCTCACAAAGGCAAACTTTTGGTTCAAAAGAATGTTTTCAACAATTCAATTTAATCACCAATCATAAACCATACAATTCAGAAATAAGTAATCCCAGGAATTTTCTTGTTGAAAAGAAATGACAATGTGACATTACATTTCAGTCTGGGATAGTATTTTTACCTGAATTTCTTTTTCCTCAATTCTTCTAGGGAGTCTCTCCCATATTTTATCTGCAATGGGGAAATGTGGTCCTTCATCTTTCAAGGTTTTCCATTCCTCTATCAAAAACCTGGGTGCAGATCGAACAAATTCAACAGACTTCTAACTCAACAAGTTTTAACCAAAAAAGGCTTACGGTGTCAAATGAAATCCCGTGGAAAAATTCAATTGAGAAATTGGAGATCACACATTTATTAAAGAAGTCTGTTTAAAAAGAAAGAGACATACATAAATTCATAGATAGATAAAGACTTCTGGGTTGCCTAAACTAGCTAGCTGTGAACACACAAAGTGTATAATTGGATGGTAACCGTCCAACCCTTTTAGGGGTGTGTTTGATTCAGATTATATCACATAGTTCAATTTTTGTCACATTTCTAGGAATCTCATTCCCCTCAAATTTTGTGGTTATACGAGATTCCTGGGAATATCGCTTTACATTACATATTTATGCATTTCTGAGCATACATGAGACCATGTAGCTGTACGAAAAATTCAAGAACTCAAGTATAAAGTATTCATAGAACACAATAAGAAATATACAGAGGGATGTAACAAAATATAATTAACATCCTGTTTTTACTTGGATACAATTCTATTTAGGGCAGACAAACTTTAAAACACACTTCAAAAACCAGGTATCTATACATTGTGTTTGATTAAGTACTTTAAAAAAAAAAAAAAAAAAAAAAATTAAACCTTACTTTCTGGTGTTGTTAAATATTGGCTTGCTACAGTGGAACATTAGTGAATCCAAATGAAGTACAATTGGTCCAGATTCATCTTCCTTATCTGGTATGCAGATAATCACCAAGCTCCAATGAAGACTGAGAAGATAACATTAACCAACATAAAGAGAACGGATAAGCAAGAAATACTTATAAAGGAACAGATTCAAAATGATGGATAAAAAATGGCCCCACAAGAATAACTGAAGAAGTGCAGAAGCAGTAATTTACTCTTGAACAATGTTTCCCAAAAGGTAAGCTAGGGCACACAAGCATTTCTACTCAACAAATGTCTCGAAATATAACACTAAGAACTTCCAGAAAATAATTGGGTTAGGAAGAATGCAAGGTACAATATTTTCCTACAATATAATGACAATCAAATAACAGATCTTAAGCCCATCAAGGAAAGTAAAAGCAATGAAATGATCAACTCATCAACCAACCCCCATCTGCATGCATCTGCTAAACCAAGAAGCTCAAAGTGTTCTCATCTCTTAAAAGGTAAATATCTTTTATCACTGGGCCAAAAATCTGTTAACTTATTAATCTGGCAATTGCAAAGATCTTGAGAATCGTTTCTAATATTGTTTGTGGCATTTGACAGGTTAAAATTACATGAAAGTTGAAATATTCAGTGCAAATGGTAGGTTATCCGTCAAGGAAAACTATAGTCCTCCTAATCCTTGCCCTGTTCCTTTCTGATACAGTAAACAAGACTTCTCATTCGCCTCAGAGTACTCACACCTCATATAGAACTATAACTAAGCCAAATATTTCAAAAGTTCAAATTTTAAGAATAAACTGAACTTTAAAAAAAAAAACAAAAAACAAAAAACAAAAAAAAAACAAAAAAAACAAAAAAAACAAAACAAAAACAAAAACAAAAACAAAACAAAACAAACAAAAAAAAAAACAATAGCTCACCTTTCATGAATTGGTAAAAATAGGTATGCTTTCTCAAACAGATTTACGCCTTTCCACCATCTTCTTAACTTGACAAAGGAAGATTCCTTGTCATTCTGCTGTAAGTCAGTATAGCAAAATTATTCATACATACTTGATTAAGCGTATATAGATATATTTGTGTCTCGTGTGTGTGTGCATTCTACTTCACATACACTCTACATTTTTTCTTCTGATTTCTTTTCTTTGATAGGTTGCTTCTGATGGTTCATGTTGGAAGAAAAACATTATTCTTAATACTTCAAAGGAAAACTTTATAATTCATGATTATCATATACCTCCAGTCACATTGGAGTTCATTATTTTGTTAAAATGTTCCATATGCATTAAGTGCAGTCTAGTAGACAAGGAAATGCAGACTTGAAAGTTTCATTTGCTCTTCTCATATGCCACTATTCTTTTCATGGAAGATTAAAGAAAAAGATCCAAGTGGTTGTTCAATCCATGGGATTGATTGGATTTGGACCAACAATCCTTCCTATTCCTCAGCATATAGTTGCTTTTGGATTAGTTCATAATTTGTGGTACCCACTGCTTATAATGAAGCGGATTGCCTTCATATTGAAGAATGAAGGGGATCGTTAAGCTCCTTTTAAACAAAACAAGCTCTCAACAAGTGTACTACTATCAAATAGTACAAAGTCACACTATTAAGGAATGCAATATTAGAAAGAAGTTCTATATTGCCTTCACGGTTAGAAGAATATACATGCATAAGATATGCAAGACAACCTGTTACCTGTTTCAAGTACTAATATAAAGTTTGAAGTACATGTCTCCCCCAAACATTTGGTTTGAAAGATAATATACCTTGTTCAGCATAGCCTCTTTAAGCTTGTTGTAAAAATATGTATTAAAAAAATGATAGTTGCATCCTCCCCTATCTGGTGAAGACTTGGTGTGCTGCAGATATCTAGCAAAAATATTGAGGATGACTAGAGACTTAAGAAAACTTTCAGCTAGTCCACAAATAAAATGACATTAGAAACATAAATGAAATTGCAATATAGTGCAGCTCTACAAAAGGTGCTTAATGAAAGCTCTAATTAAGGAACTTGATGCAGTCTAGAAGATAATAGGCAAGTCATTATATATATATATATATATATACACACACAGTTTTTGAAAGGCGTATTTTGAATCAGGTATAAGCTTGTCTTGATCAGTTGATTGTACTATTGCAGTCAAGTATATTTTTTATCTAAAGTTCTAGCTGAGAAATTTGCAGATCATGGCATGCCACTTTATCTAAAGTTCTAGCTGAGAAATTTGCAGATCATGGCATGCCACTTTATCTAAAGTTCTAGCTGAGAAATTTGCAGATCATGGCATGCCACTTATTTGATATTTAATGATGAAGCAACCTAGTACTTGAACTTCAGCCGAAATAGGTGAATAATGAGTAATTAATGGGATAAAATACTGGATCCCATAAAACTTCTAAATTAAGCATTGCTTGGACAAGTGTAGTACTAGGAAGGGTGGCCCCCTAAGAAGTCTCTGTTGCATCACCCACCTCCATTTGTATGCTTATAAAATTTAAAAAGATAAAAATAAAGGGAGCTTTGGGTTAAAAATACATGCAAAAACTTTCAAGTATGCACTTTAGTTCTCAAACTATAAGATTTTCGCCCTTCAGCTCATTGACTTCAGACCTGCCTGCAGAAGATTGGCCTTCTTTAGCAATTAAATTTCTCATACTTCTATCTTCCTGAATCTGCAATTTCCACATATTTATGGCTTTAAGCCTTGTTTGCTAGAAACTGTTATTTGTCCAATTCAATCCAGGTCTTAGCTTATTTTCAGATCTAAAAGTCCTAATTTATTTTCTCCCATCCAAACACCAATTAATCTTAATGCAACAGTCTCGGTGGCTCTCACCATACACATGCCGTCTGTATGTTTCTAGCACCATCATTGGAAATAAATCATTTGAAAATAAAAACTTCAGCAGAATAGATTACTCTGAAATTTGCAAATATAGTGAAGTAACAACAGCTTTCCTATTTTTCTAGTTGCGACTCTGTGCATCTGTTTTGGAGGAATCAAGGATAGCAGGGAAGGGTAACAGTCCGAGAAACAGAAACAATAATCTATGAACCCATGACCAATACATTGAACTATCTGAAATCATCTCTAATCAACATTACCGGATATAAAAGTTCATTATGGTTGATGACAAATATGCCTCAGGAGCAAGGCATTCCATGTCTGAATAGCAAAGCTCAATTGGATCTGGATCATCTCTATTCCACCAAGCAAAACAGCTTGCAAAATGTTAGTATTCAAGAGGCAAGGATGCAAAAAGTAAAGAAAGAGAGCACACCATACCTAGAAGGATAGTACAGCTTCAAATCTTTGGTGCTGAAATGACAAACAGAGATAATAATTGCCTCACAGGTCACATACTAGGAAGCTGACATGTTTAAAAGAAAATGAGATTAAAAAAAGTCAGAAGTTAGAGTTAACTCATTACCTTTCATCCATAAAGTCCAATTGATCCATATGTTTAGCCTCTTGTTCCTCCTCATCCACAAGAACAACAGTCTCCCCCTACAAGAAGCAACATAATTCAATCCATATATAAATCTCAGAAATTATAAATTAAAGATGAGCTAAAGACTATAGGAGCAAATAGAAGATAAGATGAAAGCCTCTTTAATGGTAAGGTTTATGATCATATATAAATTTTGAGTACAAAATACCAAAGAATATACAAGGCAAAGAACATGTAAACTGTAAACAGAGAATTAATGAAGCATAGTAGAACATACATTTTTGCACCTTGGGCTATTTGAACCTTGGACTTCAGAACATTTATTCCTGAGAGGGGAATGAATGTATCAAGTTTAGAACATGCAACATAGATTGCAGGGAACAGCACTAGAGGCAAAAAAGATTTTAAAAATAATAATAATAACAATACAAAAATGTGCTCCATGAAAGGACTAGATCACATTTTATAACAGATAAAGCAGAAAAAATGAGGCACAGAGAACTAATATACTTCTTTTTCACACTGCTGTAGAAGTCTTCCTCAGAATGTGATGTAGTAGAAGAAATACTTCTTTTCAAACCAGTATTAGATAGTCGCTGACGAGCTTTACTCTCTTGTCTTCTCCTTGGCGGAATCTTTCTTTTGGGTACCCTTTTGCTGTCACATGGATTTAGAGTACTCATTTCGCTTTCAAAGGCATTGCCCACCTTATGGTTTCCCTTATTATCAATGCACGAAAATTAGAAGGGCAAACTTCAGTTGTTATAGAATCCACAACCAGGTAATGATTAGTCAAGAATAAGATTATAAGAATGTACTGGTTCCAAACGCTTTGAAAAACAAGCACCAAATGAAGATTGTGAATTTGGTGTGGAAGATGATGGAGCCGGTTGCATGAAGCCATTAGATACACCTGCACAATTACATCTAGCTCTTATCCTTGCCCACTCAACATTTGTGAATATGTAAACTATGTAAATAGCATCATCCATCTATACATATATAAAAAATAATAACAATAATAAAACAAAATAAATAAAAAAGACCCACATACTCTCATTCCAAGAAGTTTAATATGCCTATTGTGTCTGTGTTTGTGTGTGTGTGTGTTTGCATATTACATATTTTTATATCATGAATTTGTGCCTGTTCTTACAAGAACCCAATGAAATCCAATAGTCTGCAATAAATCGTTTTCTTTCTAAGCAGCTTCCCTAAGACCCTAACAGTATACTGAAGTAAAAGATACTGGGGAAAAAAAACAGCAATCTGAGAGGTAAAATTGTAAATCACAAATGAAGCAAAAACAATAAAACGAGATAGGTTATAAAGCAAGTCAATCCAAGTTGAGCCTTAGAAAACTGGCATATATCATCCTGATCAATGCTTAAAAATGATTCAAGCACAATTCGTAAGACAAATGACAAGATCAAAATTCTGCAACAACCATCAATGTTTAAATCTTCATCACAGCCATAGAAAAGCCAAAAATGGCAGCACAAACACAGACTAGTTCTTATTGAAGGTAGTAAAGGTCATTTGGATATGGATGGAGGAGGTGGCTCTGTTAAGCAAACCAGTACGGAATTTTTCCATTCACGGTGATCAAAGATGTGATGGGACTTGCATGATGATGGAGATCATAATTACAACAACTCAATGCAATATGCATACGAAATATATACACGCACACCTACAGACACACAATTCTGACATATATATATATATAAGCAGAAGAGATAATGCAACATATTTACAGAAGTAATATGAACTTCACCTGCCCCAATGTGGTCATGCCCTTCTTGTTTATCAACTTCCTGTAGAAGAAATAAAAATTAATGGCTAAAAATGAGCATGAATAATAGAATTCATATTAAGTGTATATTATGGAAGTAAATAGGTGAACATGACTTACTCATGCTACAATTACTTTTAGGTTAGCAAAATTTTGTCACTTCTATTGGTGAAATGTTCATAAAATTCACCAATAGGTGTTTTCTTAGTACCCAAAAAATAAAAAATAAAAATAAAAATAAAAAAAAACTATGAAACTTTAATGCAATTTAGTGGACAAAGACAACATGTTCTTCAATTGCGATGCAGTATTTAAATGCACAACGTACATCTGCAAGTGACACAAATCTAGTTAACAACAACAACAGTAATAATAATAATAACAAAAGAAGCAATTAGATAAGTTTTATTTATCAACAGGATATTTATTCAACCAGCAAAACCTTGGGTTCTAAGAGGAAAAAGAACAAAATGAAATAGGTAAGACACTATATGATCCGCCCTGATAGGCTGTGCTTTTTGGGCCGAACCTTATTTCTTGAAGTTCTAAGAAACAGCACACCAAACCCGCTCTAGTACAAAAGCAGAATATAGGGCTGTGGCGCAATCCTAGATCAAACGTCACTTAGATGCAGTATACTACATAGCCCTTTATGGGATGCACCACTCTCACATTGTGACAATGTCAAGGCTATCTACCTAAGGTCACAATTCTATATTTAACGCACATATGACATATTAAACACTCGGAAATTGACTATCACTTTGATAGAGTGCAAGTGGCTTCAGGAGAAATTCATATTCACTAGTGCTTTCTAACAACCAGTTCACAGATGTATTTACTAAGGAACTCACATCACATTACTTCAACAAACTCCATATCAATCTTAGCATATTTCCCCCTGCTGGCTCAAGTTGAGGGTATATGTTAGATACCTAATATATGTGAAATCAATAATAGTATAAAAGTAGTACAACTATGCTTTCCTCATTATACTATGATCATGAATATACACTCATCATTAAAATAAAGGCAAATCTCTAAGTCCGCAACAAGATAAAATATGCTATCTGTTTAACAACAACCAGCTTAAAGCATATAAAATGTCAAAGGCCCACCTTTATCTTCAGAGCAAAGAATATGAGTTGGCATTATGCAACCAAATCATTAGACTCACAAGTCACAATTACATCAAAGTCAATCAACCACAGATGTGGTTCATTCAGATTTTGCAGAACTCAGAAAAAAAAAAATCAAAATCAACCATATTATCCTAAATCACAGCTTCCCAGTCATAGCAATAACCATGTTACTGCACTTTGATAACTATTGTTCACAGAACGCCGTGCTTATATATTGCTCAAGAAACCTTGAGCAAAAGCTAACCTATTAACTGAATAGGCACATTCACTTCTAAGTAGGGTTTTGGAATTCCATATAGTTCCAAAGTCAGAATAAAAAATCAATGTTGTAAGTTTAAAGTTAACCTATCACGTTATTCAATCTAAAAAAAAAAAATAAACTAAATAAGAAATCACCTTTCGGAGATGGTCACGTTGCCTCCTTTCCTGTTCATTCTGGAGGCGCTTGATGAAGTGTCTCAGCTTCTCGCCACCATCGGGCAGACTTTTGCTGGATAGCATTCTATTGGTCCTCGCAATCTTATTCACGAGCGTTTCATCCGACAATTCCTGTAGGTCGTCCCTACGTTCATCGTCGTCCATCGCTGTTGACGGCGGTTTCGCCGCAGCGGTGGAGACTACCACCAGCTCCGGCGGAGGCTCGTCTTCGCGGTCCCGTAATAACTCGTCAATGTTAAGCGGTATGCCCCCCTTCTGCTTTTCCTCACTTCCTCCCTCCATGCGTAGGGAAGAATGTATATAGAGTCAAGCAGTGTGACGAATCCTCTGAGCTCTAATTTTCTGGGGAAGAGAGAGAAAATGGAGGGGAAGCAAGAAAATACTCTGTACACTATTGCCAGGGATTCGATGGTGCTATATTTTGGGCTTTTGGCTTGGAATTTGTATAGCTTGGCAATAAAATACCAAGTGGAACGGCAAATTATGCTATGCGCACGTGCGCACGGCGCTAAAACGGCGTCGTTTTTCGTGAAAATGACGCTGTTTTAATTATAAAAAAAAATTTGTTCGAAACGCCGTTAACGGCGTTAACGGCATATTCGTTATGAAATTAGGAATATACAGTTATGACATTATGAATGTACAGTTATAGAACTATGAATGTATAGTTATGGAATTATGAACTTACAATTATGAACATAGAGCTTCGAAAATTATGAATGTTCGGTATGGAATTATGAATATACAGTATGGAATTATGAATGTACAGTTATGGAATTATGAATGTACAGTTATGAAATTATGAACATAGAACTCTGACATTATGAACTTACAATTATGAACATAGAGCTTCGAAAATTATGAATTTACAGTTATTGAATTATGAATGTACAGTTACGGAATTATGAATGTACAGTTATGGAATTATGAATGTACAGTTATGAAATTATGAACACAAAGCTGTGAATATATGCTCCTATAACGAAGCGGTCTGAAATTAAATTTTTTTTTTAAAAAAAAAAAAGGGAAGATATTTTATGGTAATGTATTTAAATATTGAAAGATAAATGACATACAATAATTACCATGTAATTACTATGATAATTTTATGGTAATGTATTTAAATATTGGAAGATAACAAATCTTATAATTAATATAATTAATAAAATTATTAAGGTAATTGTCACAATATTTGATAATTATAATTAATAATATTAATAAAATTGAGAAATATAAGATTTTTATGTGGAAATATTTGTGACAATTTCATTAAATTATAATTACTAAAATATGAAATATAATTAAGAAAATGAAATTATAAAATTAACAAAATATAAACATTTGTAAATTTTTGTAAATACATACATATATACATTTATGCACTATACTAACCACACAAAATTTAAATACTACTTTTAAATTTCTAAATGTAATTTTTAAATTATAAATCTATCAATATAAATTATAATTAGTGAAATTTTATTATAGAATTTTCCTATATACATATTAATAAATTAATATTAATAATATTATGTGTAGATACAATATATTATATAATCATATAAGGAAATGTGTCCGATTAGAGTTTAAATTTACCCATACAAAATTTAAAATTTAAATTTTTAAAATTAATTTCTAAGTATAATTCTCTTAGTTATTATTCATATTTTGAGAATTATAATATATATGAATTACAATTAGGAATATATAAATCAACTTAATTATGTGAATTTTTTCTATAAATTTAAGTAAATACGTACATGATTAGAGATTATATTAATCATACAAATTTTAAATTTAAATATTGTACGTTATGAAAATAGATATTTGACCAAATATATAAAAATTCAAATAGCATTCAAAAAAAATATAAAAATTCAAATATATTATTATATTGTCCATTTTAACATTTTTTTAATTTAATTTCATAATAACAAAAATTTATCCATACAACGCACGGGTATAACACTAATAATTCTTATTATCATAACATAACATAGTTCGTGCATTGCACAGGGATCATACTAGTTGTTATTATAGCCTACTATAGGGGGTCTTTAATGTAAAATAACTCTCCAATTTTTTCACATCATTTTTTTTTCTCTTTTATTCACTCTTTCCAGTTTCCCTATGATAATTTTTTTTTTTTTTTTATAAAGAAAGCCCTTCTCTAAATTAATTAAAAAATCTAATCTAGTATACAAAAACATAATAAGCCTCAATTAAGGTTATATCCTTGATTTATGTCCCTCTTTTTGTATACAAATAAATGTGTACATTTTACTTTAAATGTTGTACATTTCAATGTTATCAGACAAAACCACCCTTACACCGTTAGTTTTTAATTCTAACATTGATAACATATCATTATTACCATACACTTATATCTATCATATCTTTTCTTATTTTTAATTATCATTTTATTAAAATAATTATATATTAATTTAATGCTTAATTATATTTTAATTAAATTTCAATGATAAATTATATATGTGTGATTGTGTGTGTACAAAATACATATATTATTTGTGTATATATAATTTAAATTATAATTTTTAATTATTTGTATTTATCAATGTTTTAATATTTGGCATAAATTTTCGCGCATCGCGCGTACAAAATGCTAGTAAAAGCTAATAAGTGTGAATATCCTTCATTTATATCCATTTATTTCATTACTTTTTTTTTTTATTTAATGAATGCACATATATACAAGATCAATGAATGAATCAACGCTACCAATCCTTTAAGTGTTTTACTCTTATAATGTAACCTATAGATATTGGACAATTGGTAAATATGATGTAACCCAAATATCAAAATGCTAAAAAAAGTGTTTTGTTATTCAACAATTTGAAGCAACAAATGCTATTATTTTTTGGACACTTTTAGTCCTTTCATGACTTTTTCTATTTTAAGTAAGAACATTTTTGTCTATTCATATTTTTTTTTGTTATTTTTCTTATTTGAACCGGTTTAATTGATTTAAAACTTTAATAAAAATCGGTTGAAAAATATGGTTACTAAAAATCAGAGGTTATCTAAAGTTCTAAACCAATTAAATAAGCTAAAACCGAAAAAATAACAAAAAAAAAAAATATGAAAAGACAAAATTGTCCTTACTAAAAATAGAAAAAGTCATGAGAAGGACTAAAAGTGTCCAAAAACTAAGGCTAAAGTGTCATCGAGCACCATGAACTATATCCAATTATTCATCCCGCTTCCTGAACTTTCATATCATACATATTGAGCCACGTACTATTAATTTTTTTTCGTCTAGCATTTTTTATAGGTTTCATACAGGTTACCGGTAACAATATGCTGACATAAATTTTTTTTTTTCTTTTTTTTCCGTAAATAGCTGCCCCAAAACCCACCATCCTGACTCCGTTTTCTCCGGCGATTGCGATTTTTTTTTTTTTTTTTTTTTTTGCATTTTACAATTTCTGGCGCCGACGGTGGAAGTGTATTATGATTTTCAAGGTATTGAAGTTCTGTTCGTGTATTTTCTTTGTTGTTTTCACAACAGGTTTGTCACCAAACATGATATATATTGCTTTACCCTCCAACGGGATTAGAAACTTTGACAACATGGAGCTTGGTTTGGGACACTCGGCGTAGACTCTCTCTATCCCTCTCTGACAAAATTATCTCTTCTCTTTCACACTGCTTATCACCTTCATTAAAGCAGCTGTAAACAACTCGTGCCAAAAGGGGAAAAAACACATCACTCGTGCCTCTCCCTGATTTACCACAAAATCACTTGAAAGCTTCTCCAGAAACGCAAAGGCTTTATCGCTCAAACCACCCACCACTCTCGCTATGAAGCAAATGAATTGAGCTCCGGCTCCGAACTGCCAAAAAAAGAAGTTTTATTTCAAGAAAAACCAAAAAAAAATCCACTGACGGGGAAACGAGGCCGTTAAGAAATGAGAGTCATCTGGCTCTATATCCATGAATGCTGAAGGTCCTGAAATCTATCATTGCAGAAATGAAGACCCCAGTGCTGTATCTCAACATTTCCAGAATGACAGACTACATAAAAGATGGCCATCCTTCTATTTTCAAGCAATCTAAGAGACAAATTAAAGGCTGTCCGGGATGACTCAGGACTGCAGCCTCACATGTTTTTCATTTTATTGAATGAAGTAAATGAAATGACAAATACTATAACTTTTTTTTTTTTTCAAAATCAATTTCTCATACTCATAATCAATATTACTCAAATTGCCATTAGCTCCAAATTCTCATTCTCACGGTAAGCAGAAAATATATATTGCCCCCATTCATCTCCTTCAATTTATACCCTGAACAAGGTTTCCGTTTGTTCAGGCTCTGAGCTTCCTCATCAGTGATCTGACCTCCAAAGAGCATCTTACCAAATCCGTTAGAAGGCTAATGAGAAGTACGGGAGGCGGAGCGAGAGGCGTTGTCGGCGAATGACGAGTCGGATGTCTCAAGTTGACTTCTTTTTTAAAAAGCAAAACTATTACATGGCTGCCACATCATCTAAGAAATACATCAAATAAGCAAAAATAAACACCTCATCAACTAATAATCTGTGTCATGTCATCATAGTAACTTGAGTACCTGTAAAAAATGCTAGACGAAAAAAATTAAATGGTAAGTGGCTCAATATGTACGATATGAAAGTTCAGGGTGCGGGATGGATAATCGGATATAGTTCAAGGAGTGGAATGACACTTTAGCCAAAAACTAATAGTCTGGAATGTTAAATGACAAAAATGATAGTCTAAAATTAAATTTGAAATTGCCACCAAAGATAAGGGACCTTTAGTGAAATTAACTCTAAAGAGATCAACCGAAGTTTCAGCACATGGAAATCCTAAATAAGTATACAAAGTGTAGATTTTAACTAGACAGAAATATCAGCACACAACAATTACTAAAAAGAGTTTGAATTGAATTCTAGCCACTTACAAATATGCCCCATGCATTTCTGCTCCCTAAGGGTGATAGGTAAATACTTCTTCAGTTCTTCCTACAACTAGTTCACAATTTCCATTAAACTCTACATCTCAAAAAGCTTAGCAAAAATTTCCCGGCTTAACAAAAAGCAGAGGAAGCAATGAAGATACCATAAACTGGTCAAGATATCAGAACACGCTTAGCCGAGTCTATGTTTACTGAAGAACAATGAAGATATCCTACTTTTGGGGAAATTATAGGCAGGTCTGCTGCCCAGGTCAAGCAGAAGAAGGTGGAGGTGTGCCAGCTTGGCTCTTAGGTACTTCACTTTCCAAGCTATGATTCAGAGCGTTTCATCCGACAACTCCTGTACGTCGTCCCTACGTTCATTGTCGTCCATCACTGTTGACGGTGGTTTCACCGCAGCGGTGGATCGGAGACTACCACCAGCTCCGACGGAGGCTTGTCTTCGCGGTCCCGTAATAACTCGTCAATGTGATGTAGGATAAGGGTAAAGGGATGTCAAATATTTCATCTCTTTTTGTCAATTTACATATTACAACTATTTATAGAATAGGAAATAGGAAAATATAGTTTTAAATGCTGCACCACCCCTAGAAAAATGGACAGATTTTTAGAAAATAGAAAATCTCTTAATATCTAATAAACTTATTAATTATTACCCATGCTTAATCATCCAAAGTAGTTAACCCTTCGATTTTGCTGCACATTTGTTCTCTTTCACAATGTTTAAAAAAAAGAAAAAAAATAAGATAAAATTTTCATTAACTTAAATTCGAAATCAGTGCATTACAAATGATAGGAGGAGGGTTGGAGAATCACTCTGTGAAATCAGGCAAAGAACTAGACTGCCTAGCAAGAAGCCAAGAACATAGGTTGTCTAGTTCGTTGATATTCTAGTCAGGGGCGGAGCCAAGAAACTTGAGTTGGGGGGCCAATGTAGTAGAGAAAATTTACAATATTAGTCGACACTATAATTAACTGTACCATATTATTATATATACTATACATTATTATAATTATTATTGATAATGATTTCTAATTATACTATGTGTAATAAAGTATGAAATATATAATTATATGATGAGTACGATCGACATAGGTGTCGATCATTACTTTAGAAATTTTTCACATAACACAAAATATAATAAGAACAACAACAACAACATTTATTTAAATATAGATTGTCACTTAACATCAAATAAAAAGTTTTGACAATTATTTTGCCACCAATTTTTTTTTTCATAATTAACTGATATTCACTTTACTGATTAACTGAATATTTCAAAATTTGAGAGAGATAAAACAAAAACCAAGATCATGAATTAAATAATCAATACTAATTTTTTTTTTATTTTTTTTTTTCAATTTCAAAACTAACCATTTAAACTAGCAAATGTACATCTTAAAAGTGTAAATAAATAATTAAAACACACAATAAATCACTAATTAATTAATTAATATAACTAATAAAACTAAAGCATATATCTCAAATTTGGAGATTTTTTTTTTGAAATAAAAATGTATACTTGATGCCCCCATTATTAAAATCTTGATAATGAAATAAAAATGTATACTTGATGCCCCCATTATTAAAATCTTGATAACAGAAATAAGATAATAAAGAAAAATGGTGACTTTAATGAATTAATTCATTTCTTTTTATTTAATGAATTTGAACTTTAATATATATTTTGAGTTCATTTAATTAATATAAACACAATAGATTTTTTATTATTATTATTATTATTAGAGGGGGGCCAAAAGTGTATTTTATCCCTACTATATCAATATATACATACATATTTACTAAAAAAAATTAGGATTTGGGTAGGGATGGGGGGAGGCCCCCCTACCTTCTAATGTAGCTCCGCCACGGCTTCTAGTAAACGAAAGAAACACATTACAGAAATTATGCAAGAGGTGTTTGATATCCTCAACAATTAAATAAAAAGAAGACACACCACCACTAGACTTAGTACATTGGACAACATGTAGTGAGTCAGTTTCAACCTGAATGTTATCCATGTTGTGCAATTTAATCCAACTTAACGCTTCTCTGATGGCGAGTGCTTCGGCTTTCCTTGGAGTGAACATACCCTTGCACTGTGCTCCCCTTGCTGCAGTATATAATAGTCCCCTCTTCATCTCTTATGACACTGACAAGCCCCATAGCTGCTTCTTGCTTATTTATCGCAGCATCCACGTTCATTTTAAGCATGCCTGGCCTATGGTGAGTAGCAGATGGCGCCTGATTGGCAGATAGATGCAGATTTGTAGCATCCCTCCAAGGCCCAAGCAGTTAAGAAGTTTTTAGCTTTGCAAATAGTTGGTGCTGATGAAGGGTTGATGAATTGTTCCAAAGCTTGTCATTCCTTTGTCCCCATATTTCCCAGCAGATGAGAACAAAAAAAGAGGGATTATGACCTATTTTGGCTTCTAAAAAAGAGGACTCTGGGTAGTATCTAGCTTTGTATATTCTAGCTGCTAGGGAGGTTTGGTTGTTGGTAAGCCTCCAGGATTGTTTAGTAAGCATAGCCAGATTGAAATCTCTTAGGCTTCTAAAACCTAACCCACCCCATTTCCTAAGATGACAGAGTTTATCCCAAGATTTATGTATTAATGTACCCTTAGGGTTCTGGTTCAACCTTTTGAAAGAATGTATTAACGTATAAAAAATATATCATTGAAAATATCTCTCATTATTGATTTTTTTTTTTGGTAATTGAAATCTTTCAAATGATACTAGAGCATCCACACTAGTAGTCATTTAGGAGTTATTTCTACATGAATTCTCTCCACTCAAAGTTAATAGCTGATGTGGGGAGGAGTTATTTCAAAAATATTTCTTATGCAAAGTATGGTATATTTGTAGTCCCAATAAGTAAGAGAAATAATTAAAATATAGTGAGTTAAATGGTGGGTGCATAAAAAACTGAGAAATAACTCAAAATTGATGTGGAGAAAGGTTTTCTTTTTTGTAATTGAATGAGATGATAGAGGATGAGGTGGATGCTGGGACCCACAAATAACTTAGAAATAACCTCAACTGATAAGGATGCTCAAGGTCATATTAATATGTTTTTTAATATGTCATTTTAATAATTGTGTTATGAATTTGTAGTATTGACTTTATAAGTCTGCAATACTGACATTTTGAACTATAATATTGAGCATATGAACCTGCAACAATTATTTAATGAACATGTAATAGTAACTTAATAAATCTGCAAAGTAACTTAGCGAACCTACAATAATAACTTTATATAAACGACGTATAGTAGTGACATTATATTATGAATCTATAGTTGCATTCATTTTGGGTTCACTATTTACACCCCACTCCCCCATTTGCACAAGAGAGAGAGTATTCTAGCTAGCAACATATTTCTAACATTTTAAAAGGTTGAAACGTATTTATTACAGTCTAAATCTACATATTTTTCTAATGTAGGAAAATGCTCTTGCAATATTAGTTAAATAACATGTATGACTATTTTAGCACAAAGAAAAACAAATAAAATCAATTGTATAATATGTATTTATACATATAAGAGTTTCAGATATAAATTTCATTCTCCATTGCTAAATGCATGTTTAGTAGAAAGAGTTCACACGAAAATTTCAATTCAAAATCAAAATGATTAAATGATATTTGTATGACTCTTTTATTATCATGTGTTTTTTATTATGATATTTATTTGGGTTCTAGCTAGGTGTATTATTTGTATTATAATAATTTTAAAAACGCATGATAAGACTATAATAAAAGAGTCATATATGCAAAAGTATGCAAATTAAACATCATTTGATCCTTCAATTTTGATTTTTGAATTGAAATTTTCATGTAAAAGTTGCTTGATTTAATCACCATATATGGATATAAAAGCAGAAGTATGGCTCTATTCTTTTATATAGACTTTCTTCACTTTTGAAATATTTTAAATTTTAAGGTACAAGATGGTTTGCATATTTACCATTTTAATTTTTAATCATTGCATTTTTGAAATATTGGAGGAAATTAAATAAACACAAAATATTTTTGAAGGGCAGATGATAATTTATTAATCTTATTTGATTATTTGTATTCTTCCTGTACCCAAAACCATTCTTTTCTTGCTCAGCAGTTGCAGCTAAGCGGCCATCGCCATCGCCTCTGCCGCCCTCTTCTTCGATAGACGTGTGTTGTTCTCTTTGTCAGTCATTGCTCTAATCTTTACCCTTCACAGAACAACAGCCGGTACTAAACATAGAGGATGGGGGAGAGATATGAATACTAGAGTGTGGGAGGAAAAATATAATGGGGGAATTTCTTGGAGTGTATATAGTCGAGCATCAGCCAATTCTTGAAATTCTTTTTGGTTTTAGAATTTTAGCGGGCTGGCATTTTCGGGATTACAATTTACACAACTATGGTTTCGGATTAAATTGAAGTATTAATTTTGATTTTTTAAAACAAAAAAAAAAGTTCATATGTTATGATAATAATCACTACTTAAATCCTCATCGAGTTATCGAAGTGATATTTTAATCTTTTCATTGATAGATGTCAAAATCTTGAGTGAAAGAGAAAGCTTACAAAGTTAGACAGCAAAACTCCCAGATTTTATCTTTTTCCACCCAAAATTTATGAATAGGTAACTAAAAAATAATGGCCTGTGTGCTCTTGTTCCAACAAGTTTAATATGCCTATTGCGTTCTCACGCTTTTTTTTTTTTAATTAATTATTATTATTTTATTTACAGGAGTGATACGATCTTCACTTGCCTCAGTAAGTCATGTCCTTCTTGTTCATTGACTTCCGTCCATATCCACCTGAAATCACCTAACATGAATCGATTTTTTTTAGGTGATAGTAGGTGGTGAGTCGGAGGTGTGTCTTTAAAAAGTAACCAAAAACTAAAATGGGAATAAAATTAGATTTGTTGATAAAAATTTAAAAATTTTGAAACTTGAACTAGAATCTAAAAAGAGCATTTGGGACATGCATTTTGGCCCTGTTTGGTAAAATGGCTGTTAACTGATAGATGTTAGTTGTTAGCTGATTGTGTTAATTAGAGGGTATAAATAGTTGATAACATTAGCTGATTGTAGAAAAGTGTTTGGTAAATTAGCTATTAGCTGATAGCTGTTTAGTATAATTTCTTTTCTTAAAAAACTAATTGAAAAAGTTGTTTGGAGTAGCATTTTGAAATTTAGCCTTTTAGAGTTGCAAAAAGCTAATTAACCAAACATTTATATTGATATTTTAACTAAATCAAACAATTAATAGTGATCAAATAAGCCAAAATTGATCTATAGGCCAATTTTTTACCAAACAGGGTCTTTATGTTAGAAATGCACATCACATACGTTTTTAATTTTTTTCTCTCTATATTAACCACAAACACAAGTGAAATTTGCCTCTGATGTATTATACATGAGACCAGTTGCGTCTCATGGCTATAAGTATATAGTGCTGTCAATACGGGCTGGCGGGGCGGGGCGGGCCAAAGCCCGGCGGGCGCGGGCCTAAACGGGGCGGGCTAAAAAAGCCCGCTCCTAAACGGGCCTGGGTTTGATAGGCCCGGACCGCCCCGCCAGTGGCCCGCGGGCTAGGCGGGCCCCCGCCGAAACCTCTTTTTAAAAAAAAAAAAATTGTTCATCAAACATCTAACTAATTAAAATAAATTGATACATAAGTTATAACTCACATAAAACATAATAATCAAACATCAAACTAGTCACAACTACAAAGTCCAAAAATATTACACATAACAATAATTTTAAAGTGCATATTTTATATAAAAATATTTTATATAAAATAAAATATAATATTGGCGGGCAACCCGCGGGCCCAGCGGGGCGGGCCTGGCGGGCCGCGGGCCTAAGCGGGGCGGGCCAAAAAACCCGCTCCTAAACGGTCCTCTATTTTCAAAACCCGCCCCCTACCTAAGTAGGGGCGGGGCGGGGCGGCCCGGCGGGCTAAGCCCGTTTTGACGGCTCTATAAGTATACTCTCCCATAGACGCAAGTGGAAAATGCATTTCTCGTAGAATACGAGGCATTTCCCAATTCACCACTTGCGTCTCTCACCGTCGACGGCTGGCGAGAAGAGACGAGTGGAGTACGACTATAATTGACAGCGTCAAATACAAACGCAGCAGAATGCAAAACAGCATGACCATATACAAATATTGCGCACCAAATACAAACACAGTGAAGGCGTTATTCCAACCCGCAATAAAAGATGCCAACGTTGATCGATTTAATCCGTTGATTGATCGCCTCAACGGATATAAGATGCTATACCAATGCGTTTCTTGTAGAATTTCCACTTGCAATTGTGGGAGAGTATACCTATAATACATTAGGCGCAAGTTCCACTTGCATCTATGATCAATATGCGAGAAAAAATAAAATTACAAAAACATACATGAAACGCATGCTCCAAATGCTCTTTTTCTATTCTAGTCCAAGTTTCAAATCCTTCTCATTTTTATCAACAAATCTAATTTTATTCTCATTTCAGAATCTTTAACCTTTTAAAAAGTAAACTCAAGGTGGATCGGGTTAGATTTGGATTCAATGTACAAAATTCGTCTAGAATCCCACCCGACCCACCATGTGTATGTCCCTATGGGACTTAAAGAGAAAGGAAGGAAGAATAAGAACATGAGCTTAGATGCCAGAGTTGTTAGCTCCTTGTTTTGATTGGAAATTCTCGGTTATCTTTCTTTTGAAATAGGGAGAACAACGAAGTGTGACAAATTAGCTCAATTTCGGAGAGGGACTCACAACCAGTTCCATCCATATTGGATAACATATCTACCCATCTTGTCTTGTCCCTTTACCTATGCTAGGTCTTTGAAGGCAAGGAAAGGAATGAAGGTTATCCCTCTCCCCAATCCCTTCCAGCTTTTCTTATGACCTTTGTCTTTTCTTGATTTTTTGAGTAGTTAATTACATTGACCTTAATAGTGAAATAAATACTAATATGTAATTATTTATAAAAGTTTCTATAATTTCGTGTAATTTTTTAATATTTTTATATCTAAACTACTAAGTTTATTTTTAAAAATTAACTATTTAGTTATTATATTTAAATACTTCTATTATTTTATGTTTTAGTATAACTAATGAATTTTATTATTTTATTATGTGTAACTAATTTAAATATTATTATTATTATTATTTTAAAATGTGATTTTTGAAAAAGTCCACTTGATACGAGGTTGAGGTGGAGATAGAGGTGAATAGAGAAAATATACGATAAATCGATTGATAGATGCAGCCCTCCTGACCGATTGTCATCCATATTCCTACCGAAGGATCAATGAGGATGATAATAACATTCCTATTGAGTGTATATTGTTACTCCTCAAAGCAAATCTACCACTACCGAAAAATCTTGTTAATTGGTATTTAAAAAAAAAAAAAAAAAAACACATGAAACTTTTATAAGATGATCCGAACAAAGAGTAGCAGTATTATAAATGCATAATGTACATCTACACGTGGCACAAATCTACTTAACAAAAAAAATGGAGAAGTAATTATATAAATGTTTTATTGTAATTTATGCCTCCACAAATACGTCAATTATCAATGTTATCCCTAAATTATTAGTGGTGTAAATGTTGTAACTCAATTTTTAAATGTAACATATATTACTCCTCCCCTAATAGGAAGAATGTGAAATATTATTGTCGGCAAAAAGAGAACAAACGGATTAAGAAAAATGGAGGAAAAAACGTGATTTTCAAATAGGAAAAACGATGGGTAATCACATTTACACAACTATGTCACATTTTGAAAATTAATGGGCAACATTTACACCACTAATAAATCAGGAATGATATTGATAATTGACATATTTGTGAGGGGCATAAATTACAATTTTTTTTTTTTTTTTTTTTTTTTGCAAAGAAACAATTCTTCGAGTTGTAAAATTCCGAAAATCATACATAAGAACCGTCTAGATAGAGTCCAATACAGAATCAAAGCTACTAAAGACAACTAGTGACAGGATTTACCGAGGATGAATGAGAGAGCCCATAGGGAAAGCTAATGCTGCCACCAAAGAGCCCATAGAGTCCCGCAAACAAATAATGTCAATTGCATTTTTTTTTTTTTTTTGAAACTGACAATTGCATATATTTTATTGTCCATGTCAGCATCAACTTTATAAATCTGCCACGTTATATGTCAACTCAGCAATTTAACCCAAGAAACCTACAAATAATGTCAATTGCATATATATTTTTTGTCTCTTAATTAGGCTGCCTTGGTGCGAATGGAGATTAATCTGGGTAAGGTACAGACTTAAAGGTGACTCCTACATTTAGAGCATGCTCAGGACACCTTGTGGTTTAACCGGAAATTTAAATTAAAAAAATCAAAAATCAAAAAAAGGAGAACCTGCAGGTCTCTTCTTGGAAAATGCTTTGGTTTTGCTTTTGGATTCCCCTCCCTTTCACCATTGGCAGATATTGGTTTTACTTGTGATAAGGTGATTAGAACAAAGTTGCAGCATTTCAGATCAAAGAAACTAACCTAGGGGGTCGATTCTCTAGAATGGCTCCATTTGGTTCATCATCCTCTGATGTTCTGCCTGCAAATGATCAGTACAACCAACCAAAAGGTAAACAATTAGTGTTTATCATGACTCATGAGGCACATGAGTTAAAAAAAAAAAAAAAAAAAAAAAAAAAGGTGCAAGACTAGTCGAGTTTGGTTTATACACATTAATCTGCCAATCAACTTAAAATCCAAAGTAAGATTTTTCTTATACAAATAGACAGAGGCAATAAACATAGTAAAATTCACTTGATAACATTATTCTTTAGTTCTTCCTACAACAAGTTCACAATTTCCATTGAGTTCTACATCTCAGTAGCAAAATTTTCACTGCTTAACTAAAAGCAGAGGAAGCAATGAAGATACCATTCATTTAAAATCTCTTCTCACTGCAAGTCAAGATATCAGAACAGGCTTAGCCAAAGCCATGTTTACTGAAGAACAATGAAGATAACCTAATTTTGGGGAAATTATAGGCAGGTTTGCTGCCCAGGTCAAGCAGAAGAAGGTGGAGGTGTGCCAGCTCGGCTCCTAGGTCCTTCACGGTTGAAATTGAGGAATTGAAAGGCCTGGCGGGTGGAGAATAACCACCGCTCGCCAATTAGGCGTAAGCAAAATATGTAAGAAACCAAGAATAAGAGAGAATATATTATAATGAAAGATTACAATACATTGTATCTCCTTGTGTATATTCTATACTTCTATGGACCTCTATATATACTAAACTAGATACAAAATTAGTCCTAATAGGAGGAATAGGAAATTACTAATAAGAATAGGAAACTAAGATAGCTTCTACTAGGAATGAGACAAAGGTTTCCTAATATTCAACATTCACTTTCCAAATCCGCAATCTCTTCTGGAAGACCCCACTCCTCAGCCTTAAAACCAGGGCACATGACCTCCAATTGTTCATAGATAGTCTTCTGCATCATCCGCATACCCTGGAAAGTCGCCTTAGCTCTACTCTCCTCCAATGTGTTGTGAAGAGCTGGGTTGGATTCGACCGCATCCAATTACGAACTCTTGGCCATCTTCATTAACCGAGAATTGAGAGATAACTTCAGAAAGGAAGGGCAAGCTAGTTCTGCATTCAGCCCGGACACGCTCTTCAAGCTCCGCCTTCTCGAGTTCAGAGACCCGTTTCTCCAACTTCTTGGTCTTCGCCTGCTCAGCCCATAAGCTCTCTTTGGCTTCTTCCAGCTGACCTGCCTGGGCTGATATTTTCTTGCGAGCCTCCTGCAATTCAGCCTCCAGCTCGGCATTCTGATCTATGAAAATCGTGGAGGTAGCAGCATTCTAGAAACAAAAAAGCAGAATTGGTTAATGGTCAGATCAGAAAGGGAAAATTATAAAAGGATAGATATGTTGAAAAACAAAGGGTTGTGTCTGTTTATGAATAGGTGCTTAAATTAACAGTTATGTGTCTGTATATACATGCACTATGTTTCTTCATTAGAAACATAGAATTAGAGTAATATATTGTAATCTTTCAGTACTATATACATTTTCTCATTTCTTGATTCTTCATCTCTGCTTCTGCCTAATTGGCGGGTGGTTGTTGTTCTCCACCACCAGGCCTTTGGATCTTTCAAATTCAACATGATGATTAAGACTTACTTGGAGGGCTTGGACCAAGAAATATTCGCGCTTGTCTTCTGAGCTCATCCTGTTAAAGATTGACATGTCAACATGGCTCAAAAACTCTAGCCCAATGTCAACAGCCTGACCTTCCCTTAGAGCTCTTCTCCATCGTTGACCTTTGGAGGAAGCTGGCTGTACTGGCTCGGCAGAAGAGCTGGCGGGCTCTGATGAGGTAACAGGTGGAGCTACCTTAGCGGATCTAGCTCCTGCTACCACCTCCTCGTGAGTAGGCCTGCTGGTCTTGACTTGTGCAGATGGGTCATCGAGGATGAAGCCTGGTTCATTGGGACCATAATTAGCAGGTTGGGGCTCTGCTTTGCAAACTTGGGTTGGAGGAACAGAGGGACTGCCAGCAGGATCGGGAACATGTTTGGCTCTAATCTCTCTTCCTCCCTCCATAGGCCCGCCGCTTGGTTTCCTCCGAGACATCATCTTGGCCAATACTTGTGGGGAAACCTTGCTGGATTGAATGACCCTCTCCTCCAAACGAGAGGCAGAGGAACTATGATTGGTAGTGAGACCGAATCTTATCTTCTTTGCAGCACCACCAGCAGAAAAGGTTTTCCTCTTCAAGCTTGCTGTGACTTGGGCCAACTTGGCTAATCTAGATAGAATGGCTGAAGGGGTAGAAGTATCAACATGAGGGCTAGATGTTTGAGCCCCGATAGATGGCACTGGTTCAGTCTTGGCGGACCTGGATGCCCCTTGAACATTGTTAATGGGTGGTGAGCCTTGTGCATGAGCTCCAGATGAAGCGATCCCCACATAGATTGGAAGACCTGAGCCTGATGAACCACCTACAATTAGAAGCAGATCCTGATCCACATTAGAGAAGATAAGACAGAACAAATGAAAAAAGGAGTATTATGAAAATAAAGACCAATTATACTTACTTCCATCCAGCTGATCCCGGATTGGAGGGCCAAGTTTCAGATCTGAAAGGATCTTGGGTGTGATGCCCTTCAGTCCATCTAACTGTAAGGCCCTCAGAGCTGCCACATCTTTGTCGAGGGCATCTGACCTGCTGGGGCTGGCAACCTTAGTAACCTTGGAGGACCACTGGTTCACAAACCCAACTTCATCTTGCTCCAACTTTACGAAGAAATACTTATACTTCCAACTTCTGGTGTTCTTGGGAATTTTCTCAACCATCCGGCGATTAGGCCTACTTTGAAATTGTACAAAGCCTTCTATCTCACCAACCCCTTCAAATATAATAAACATGTATTGAAACAGCTCCAATGTTGGCTCTTTTCCCAAAAGCGCATGGCCCATAAGAAACAATGTGATCAATCGATGACCGTTAGGAGGGATCATTGCAGGGACCAAGTTGTAATGAAGTAGCACCTTCACCAGAAATGGATGCAGGGGGAAACGCAGACCTGCCTTGATGGAGTCATAGTGAACAGCCACATAAGTCCCATCCATGGCCATCAAACTGCGACATCCATCCGGAGCTGATGTCTTGAATTTGCGCGAGATAAGTTTACGTGCCTCACTATATTCTGCTTTTGAAATGTCTAGAGGAAGGTCCCGCACAACTCGCCTCTTTATTTGGCGGAAGTGCCCTTCAAAATTCTTATCTGGATCCACCTCTTCCAGGCCTCCATTAGAATAAGCCACTCCTTTCCCTTTTGAGCGCGCAGCAGATCCTACCTGATCTTCCCCCGTCATTTGATCCACAACCAGGGTATGTGGAGCAGTACCAGGAATAATGGGCTTGTTCTCATTAGTTTGTACTGTCTTCGGGTCAGGCATGAGGATATTCACTTCAATTTCCTTGATAATGGTCTCACTAGAGCTTGAAGAAAGGGTTTTTGAAAACGAAGGGTCTGGACTCCCACTGTTTTTGGATGGACTACAATAGCTGTTCTGGCCATATTCGGCCCCACTATCCGATGTGGGCATGGGATTACAACTCCCACGAGGAGAGGTACCTGTAAAAGAGAAATGAGATTAGCGTTTATGGGCATTTAGGTCAATACGATCCACCCAACAATGGGATTCGAGATAAAAATCAAAGAGGGGGTCCTCCACTCCTCCCAACTCAAAGACATCATAGCAAGAGATCAAACCTTGTTCAGGTGAAACTTGAAAGAAAGTAAAGAGGGAAGATTAAACCAAAACCATACAACTATCAATTTCAGTAATCATCAGTAAAGTAAACAGCATGACATACATTAAAATAAATATATTCATAACCAAAATATAATGAATACCTGATAAAAAATTTGCAAAAACATGTAGGGCTTAGGGTGATCCACGTGAGTCTTCTCTCAGGAGATTCAGACACACAGATTGAAGAAACGATAGCATATACAAATTTGGGAACCCGAATAGCTTCTTCACTAAGGTTCATCCCGACTATGCAAGGACCCGAGGTTTTGCAATTTTTATATTATTATTTATTTTTCTAGGATTTGAAAATTAAGCAATATTTATATACGAGGGCTTGGACCGGGAAATACTCGCGCTTTTCTTCCGAGGTCATCTGGTTAAAGATTGACAACATGTCAACCCGGCTCAACAACTCTAGCCTGATGTCAACAGCCTGACCTTCCTTTAGAGCTCTTCTCCATCATTGACCTTTGAAGGAAGCTGGTTGGACTGTCTCCGCAGAAGAGCAGGGGGGTCTGATGAGGTAACAGGTGAATATGTGATGTAAATAGCATCATCTAGCTATAGTGTTATACATATATAAAAAAAAAAACAAATAAAATAAAATAAGACCTGCATACTTCCATTCCAAGAAGTTTAATATGCCTATTGTGCGTGTGTGTGTGTTTTTTTCTTTTTTGCATATTACATATTTCAAGAACCCAATGAAATCCAATAGTCTGCAATAAATCATTTTCTTTCTAACAGCTTACCCAACAGTAAGCAAAAGATACTGGGAAAAAAAACAATCTGAGAGGTAAAATTGTAAATCACAAATGAAGCAAAAACAATAAAACAAGATAGGTTACAAAGCAAGTCAATCCAAGTCGAGCCTTGGAAAACTGGCATATATAATCCTGATCAATGCTTAAAAATGATTAAAGCACAAATTCTTAAGAAAAATGACAAGATCAAAATTCTGCAACAACCATCAATGTTTAAATCTTCATCACAGCCATAGAAAAGCCAACATTGGCAGCACAAACACAAACTAGTTCTTATTGACGGTAGTCAAGGTCATCTGGATATGGACAGAGGAGGAGGCTCTGTTAAGCAAACCAGTGCTGAATTTTTCCATTCACAGTGATCAAAGATGTGATGGAACTTGCATGATGATGGAGATCATAATTACAATTTACAACACAATGCAATATGCATACAAAATATATACATGCACACCTACGGACACACAATTCTGACATATATATTACAGCAGAAAAGATAATACAACATATTTACTTAAGTAATATGAACTTCACCTGCCCCAATGTGGTCATGCCCTTCTTGTTTAACAACTTCCTGTAGAAGAAATAAAAATTAATGGCTAAAAATGAGCATGAGTAATAGAATTCATATTCAGTGTATATTGTAAAAGTAAATACGTGAAGATGACTTACTCATGCTACAATTACTTTTAGAGTTTTAGGTTAGCACTCAAAGCACATCTACCACTACCGAAAAATCTTGCCACTTCTGTTGGCGAAATGTACATAAAATTCACCAACATGTGTTTTCTTAGTACAAAAAAAGAACTATGAAACTTTAATGTAATGTAGTGGACAAAGAACATGTTCTTCAATTGCAATGCCGTATTTAAATGCACAATGTACATCTGCAAGTGACACAAATCTACTTAACAAAAAAAAAAAAAAAAAGGAGAGAGAAGCAATTAGATAAGTGTTATTTATCAACAGGATTTTTTATAGCATCTTTCAACCAGCAAAACCTTGGGTGCTAGGGGGAAAAGAAGAAAATGAAATAGGTAAGACACTAGATGCTCCAGCCCTGCTATGCCGTGCTTTTTGGGCCGAATCTTATTTATCGTAGTTCTAAGAAATGGCACACCATGCCTCGCTTAAGTACAAAAGCAGAATATATGGCTGTGGCGCAATCCTGGATCAAGGTCACTTAGATGCAGTATTACTACATAGCCCTTTATGGGATGCACCACTCTCACATTGTGACAATGTCAAGGCTATCTACCTAAGGTCACAATTCTATATTTAGTGCACATATGAAGCACTCGAAAATTGACTATCGCTTTGATAGAGTGCAAGTGGCTTCATGAGGAGTTCATATTCAGTTATTCACTAGTCCTTTCTAACAATCAGGTCACAAATGTATTTACTAAAGAACTCGCATCACATTGCTTCAACAAACTCCAAATCAATCTTCGCATCTTTCCTTCAACTGGCTCAAGGGTATGTTAGATACCTAATATATTTAGTGTTTTTAAGAGTCCCACATTGAAAAAGTAATACAGAACATATGGGTTTATAAGGTCATTAGTTAGACTAGCTAATTGATTGGATTCCATCATTTAGTGGTGGGTTTGGCCCATGTGCATTATAGCTCAATTGAGTGACCTTGGTCCACTCTTATAGATTATAACAAGTGTGAAATCAATAATAGTATAGTAGTAGTACAACTATGCGTCAATGCTACGTAGAGTATATTGCTATGATCAATCTCTAAGTCCGGTAGTCCGCAACAAGATACAATATGTGTTGTTTAACAACAACCAGCTTAAAACATTTTAACAAGATAAATATGTTTATCTGTTTAACAACAACCAGCTAAAGCATATAAAATGCCAAAGCATCTTTCTTTTCAGAGCAAAGAATATGAGTTGGCAGAAAATTATGTAACTGAAAGAATGTCAGGGACGCATTTATTTCGGGGATGAGTTAAAATATTCAGTTGTTGTCATTCACATTAGTCTCACAATTACATCAACTGATCAAAGTTAGGTCATCCAGATTTTGCACAACTTGAACAAAAGAAAAACAAAACAAAACAAAACAAAAAAAAAATTCAAAACCAACCATACTATCTTAAATCACAGCTTCCCAGTCATTGCAATAACCAGGTTACTGCATTTTGATAACAATTGTTCACAGAACGCCGTGCTTATATATTCATCAATAAAACTCGAGTAAAAACTAACCTATTAACTGAATAGGCACATTCACTTCTATGTCAGGGTTTTGGAATTCCATATAGTTCCAAACCTAGAATAATGAATCAATGTTGTAAGTTTAAAGTTAACCTATCACGTTATTCAATCTAAAAGTTAAACTAATAAGAAATCACCTTTCGGAGTTGGTCACGTTGCCTCCTTTCCAGTTCATTGACTTCATTCTGGAGCCGGCGGCGCCTGATGAAGTATCTCAGCTTCTCACCACCATCGGTCAGACTTTTGCTGGATTCACAGCATAGTATGTCCTTGGCCCTCGCATTCCTATTCCTGAGCGTATGCGTATCATCCGGCAATTCCTGTAGGTAGTTCTTACGTTCATCGTCGTCCATCACTGTTCACAGCGGTTTCACCGGAAATTTTTTGAGTACTAAAAGCTCGAACTCATAACCTTACACATAGTGAACCAACTTGATACCAATTGATCACAAAGTCTTTAGTAATTTCTATATTAATTTAAAAATAAAAAGTGTTAAATTGGCTCCCCAAGTCAGGTGGATAGTGTAATTAAGTCCTTAAAGTAAAAACAAATTTTATTCAAGTCTCCTAACCCGTTAAAATTGTTCAATTAAGTCCAAATTGACTTGTTTGTCATGTTAAATATATATGGTGTTGACACGTGTTCATTTTATTTTATTTTTTAAAACAAATATTTTTTATTTATTATTTAAAAAATTATTTATGCCTCATTCCGGCAACATTCTAATCCAATCCGGCGAATTTCCAATCAACCCCACCAGTTTTCCTCATTTATCCTTCCGCTAGATCTTCCCCATTTTCTTCATTCAATTCCATCGCACAAACACACAAATTAGACTAACTAACTCGAAATTGTCGTGAAAATCAGCAATCATCTCCATGGATTCAATGTCACTATGTTTGCAGCTGCTCTTGATGCTTCACGTCTTGTGCCTCGTAACGACGTTGTTCACGGAGCCGCCGTCGGTCCCCGACCTCCTCTTCAAGTTCATGAATTCTCTGACTAATGCCTCACAGCTGGAGCATCAACAATGTCCCGTATTACAAAAATGATACTCCTGTTTGCATAGGTCTGATCTGCCTGAAAGGACAATTCAGTCTGAAACTGAAAGGGATAGGACTCGCAAGAAGAATCGACGTCTATACGCTATCGCAGCTCAACTCCTTGACGCCTCTGCACTCTGTAAGCGTGATGAATAACAACGTTAAGAAGGCGACCATCTCTGGCATGTGACCTTTTGGTCACTTCTTTCGTGTTTTTCTTCAAATTTTAGCAGATCTGTTCGAAAATTTGTCGGAGTTAATCGAAATGTTGCCAGAATGAATTAGAAGGTGGCCAGAATACCAGTGACCTGCATTAACTGGTTGATGGGCCTCAATGCATCAAAATGACATGTTTATGAATCTAATTGCAACTTTGTAATGTTTAGGGACTTAATTGACTTTGTAGGTAAAGTTTTAGAGCTTATTTGACCCTTTACGAAAAATATGTTAATACACAAATAATGAAACAAATATTTAAAAGTATATATATATATACATACAATCCCATGAAAAAAACACAAACACATTGAAGCACTATTATTTGATTAAAACTTGGAGTCTCAAAAGTAATAAATTTTTTAGATATCCAAAATAAAACTATAATATCATCCACACCGACTATAGAGCACCAATCTAATTTTCAAATTTTCATTATAGGGCAGATGCAACGCTGAGAATGCGAAATAAGTGCTTCCCCAAAGTGAGCCAATTCAAAATTTTAAGTACACAGTAAAATCACCAAATACAGAAAAAACCCACCTTGATTTTCAGACTTGTATAGAGAACAGCTGCTGGGGAAGACATGGCGGCACAAGTTGGTAATTTTACATTGTTCAGCAAGGGAAGGGTATGGACTCAGAAATTCTCTGTATTTTTTCTATACATGACGCGCTACAAATGCTAAAGCTTTGATTTTACATGTACATAAAGGTTTACCTGTTTAATCATTGATCTTTGTATTCTTATCAAGAAGGGCAGCGGAATTTTTTTTCATCAGCGTTATATGCGCAGAAACTGCAGCACCTCCAGCCAAACGCAGATTTTCGGATGTCCCTTAAGACACCAATGGGGGAAAAGCCGGGTGCAGCAATCTTTAGTTTGTAGATGAAAGGAAAAGTGATGGCACCCTGCAGATTTATGGTGTTGCATATGAAGAAAATACAGAGGTCTCCACGTTTTTTGGTTTAATCAGGACACCAGCACTGGCCAATATCAAAATCAATGTGACACAGCGATGTTATCTCATCTGGGCAGGAAAGATTAATCCACTTTGGTTCAGCAAAGATGCACATCTTTTTAACCACCTGAATCTTTTCTTCGCTTGCTTGCTCGGGTCTTTGCTTTTGAGCTCTCAGCGGGTTCTGAATCGAGCTGCTTTTGAGTTGGAGGACTACCTGATTTTGAATTCTGAGGCGCTGCTTTTTCTGATTGACATTCTGGTTTCGAAGCTTCTGTTGCCTCTTCATTGGCCAAGTGTTTCTCGTATAAGATGGCTGAATCCAGGGCATATAAGCGGAGTGCGAGGGCTGACAGGGTGGAGATTTTGGCAGCAGCCGAAGGTGATGACCAGTACCACCAGTCATTCCTCAAGTACTCCGTCTTTATTGTGTCCTCTAGTATGATTGTTGCTTGAATCATCTGACAAGCAATGAACTCAACTCAATCTTAAAATGCTCCAACAAATATAACAAAAGCACTGAAAAAAAAAGGGTAGGAAAAAAAAACAAAACAAAACAAAACAAAACAAAACCGGAAGCATACAATTAAAGCATGTGTTCCATCTCAACTAAAAGTCTCATCTCTTTTTATTAGGTGACGCAGAAATTCGAATTGGCTCTGATACCAAATTGAAGCATGCGCTCCATCTCAACTAAGAGCCTAAGTTGATAGTTGGATTACACATTTATGTTTATATATTATATATATTCTCAACACATACAACTGTGTATGTTCATATATTTAATTTGAAGATATTTCAAAGAATAACACATTAACACTTGCAACAGTTAAGTAAGAAATGATCTTGCAAGAATGAATGTTGAAAAATTGGCATTTGTCCATAGCTCTTAGAAGCAAGAGAATATAACTTCTTTTAAAAAAACAAAATTTTATGACAGAATAATTTGGATTTGAAACATTCAACCTATAAGGAAATAGTTTTGTTTTGTAACTAATCATCTGATAAAATATAACTCCAGTAACTGAGAAATTTGAGAATGCCAATCTAGTATGGTCAAAATCATGTAAAATATTTGTTTAACAGAAGACACAAGGAAGGAGCATTTAATCCAAGGACAAATGGTGTCCAACATTTCACGAGGACAATTATCTTTTGTGCCAGTTCATTTCTATTAGGCACTAACTTCCTGCCAATTGCACACTTGCTTGTTTATGTCTTAAAAGATTAATTAAATAGGAGAGGAAAAGTGAAAAACTGACCTCATAAACTGTAGCTGCAGATTTTACAAATGCACGCCAGGAATATCTTCTGTCTGAGTGTGATCTTGACACTCTCAAAGACTCTTCAGGTAGAGCAGCATCCATATCAAGCAAGTTGATCTTTAGACGCCTCAAAATCTCAAAATCCCTGCCTACCAATGGCCGTACAGAGGATTCACGAACAGTAAAGCTTTTATTTATTCCAAGTGCTTGGCTTTTGACCTTCACAGAAGACAATTGATTCTTTTCATTCGATAATGTGGATCTGCCTCTCCCAAGTTCCAATTCATCATCAAATATTCCATTTTCATTACTCGGCAGATTATCTAAGATGTGGACTTTTCCAGGAATACTGGGTCCAGTGTTTGATTGCTGCTGGCAAGTTTCCACTACTGTAGTAGTTTCTGTAGCAACCTCATCTTCTGTAGTATGGAACAATCCAACAGGATAATCAAGATAGGGAGTTCTACATGGAATAAAGGATGGAGCACCATTCGAGCCAATCAGTCCAATTTTCTTTATCTCTTCCTTGAGTGAGCTTTGAACAATAAACTTGCGTTTGATCTCCTCAAACTTAAATGGACATTCTGGTTCATCTTGATGTTCAACAGAAGCAGACTCATTACTGTGCTTCTCATTTCTAAATGCAGGAACACTACCTTGCTTCCTGCTCTTGGATGCTTGATTAATACCATTACTGGCCAAAGACTTCTCCTGACAGCTTTCACTCCTCGTCACTTTTTTGC